AAGCAAAGATGAGCTAGTCAAAGCTGTGAAGATACATTGGGTGATTGACATTGGGCATAATATTGAGCTTACCGATTAGGAGAAACTTTGGAATAAAATGATTTTTTCCCCTGCTCGCTTTGCAGTAAAAGAAAATATACAAAAAATGTTGTACAGATGGTATCTGACACCATCAAAGCTTGCTGAAATGAATAGAAGAGGGTCCAATCTATGTTGGAAGTGCTCTGAGGCAGAAGGCTCCCTCATGCAAATATGGTGGCAATGTAAACACGCCAAAAGATATTGGGACATGGTATATAAGGAATTTTTAAAAATGGTTGGCTACTGCAAGAAAACAGGATGCTGGACTAGATGGGCCATTGTCTTGATCTAGCAGGTGGTTCTTATGTTCCTAATGGAAACACATTCACTGCCACAGGGGTGGGAAGACTATATATAACCTCCTAAGATTATACAATAATCTTATAATTATGTGAGGAGGAGGAGGAGGAGGAGGAGAGGAAGAGGAAGAGGAAGAGGGAGGAGGAGGAGGAGGAGGAGGAGGAGGAGGAGGAGGAGGGATGCATTGTGGTGATCAGTGCAGAATTCCGTGAGTTGCCTTTCAGATTGATCTACTAATTTCTGTGCATGTAAATGGGCAAATGATTTGGTGCATTCCAATGTCTTCTTCCACAGTGACTTCAATTTGTGTTTCCCATGAACTTCTGTTGTACATAATAGGACTTGCACACTTTTCCCTGGAAAGGGAAAGCCAAGTCCCCTTTGCTTTTCAATTCCTGGAAATCCTTAGCTGTGGCACATATGGAGACAACACCTCCTTGAAGATCTTCCTGCTTGCCTTCTCCACAGGACCCTGGCAGCCCATCCTCAATGGCTGACTATTTTCACTCTGATTGGTTCCTGTCAGCACAAAGGGTCAGGCATCTTATTAGTGGTAAAAAATCTCCCCTTTCCTGCTCATTAGGTGGCTTCATGATGCTGGAGACAGGGACCTTGCAGGGAACCTACTGCAGAAATAGTCATGGGTCTTCAACCCTTGGCCCCACACCTGCATCATGTTTTACTGAGAAATCTCTGGGTGAATTGTGCTGTATTGGGAAAGGATTCTGCCGCCCTGTTGTTGAATGATCAGAAATAAAATTGCCCATTAAAACATCCTGGTTGCTTATTTCTCAGTCTCACCCATCCTTGCCTATGTCCACACCACCTTGAACTTACCTGATTTTGGAAACTTAGAAGGATCAGCCTTGCTGAGTACTTGGATGGGAGGAGAGCCTGGAAATAATAATAATAATAATAATAATAATAATAATAATAATAATTTATTTATATCCCGCCCTCCCCAGCCGAAGCCGGGCTCAGAGCGGCTAACAACAGTAAAATAATACAACATTCTAAAATCATTTCATTATAAAATCAGTTCAAATCAAATTAATGGCAACCATTGGGCTAGAGTTCTGTGAGGATTGCCAAAGGAGGGTGTCAGGCTGTACCTTGGCGAAAGGCCTGGTGGAACAGCTCTGTCTTGCAGGCCCTGCGGAAAGATGTCAAGTCCCACAGGGCCCTAGTCTCTTGTGACAGAGCTTTCAACCAGATCGGAGCCACAGCCAAAAAAGCCCTGGCTCTGGGTGCTTTAATGGGGGAAGGCCTGTAGCTCAGTAGCAGAGCTCCGACCTTGCATGCAGGAAGTATCCCCAAAATCTCCAAGTGGGGCTGGAAGAGGTTCCCTACCTCCAGCCCTGGAGAGTCACCCCTAATCTGCCTAAATGAACCAATGGTTAACTTGGGATACATCAGATTCCTCTCTACAGCCTAACAATATGCAGTCAACAGCTGAAGCTATACAAAAACACACCCACTTGCTGGATGGGAGAACGGGCCAGGAGGGTACACAGCCAACCTCGCCCTGCCCTTCTGTAGGCCTGCCCTTCTAACTTTTATACAAATTGAAACGTCCATATAACATATAATACCATGCAATTCAAGCAATTTAAGTTCCATCTAATACATGGCTTAAAAACAAACACAAACCACAAACTGTGCCAAAAGTAGATTCTGACAATTATTCTAGCACTGCACCACTCACACCAATATTATATTTTAAACAATAAGCAAGAGCTCTACTTCAAACCACTGTGGGGGTCAGGGAGTTAACCTCAGCCAGCCCACATTTTACCAGCTTCTCTGCAAAAATATCATTTGTCAAAAGGCTTACTGAAATAAATATACAAGATACACTGCAGGGGGTTGGACTAAATGAGCTTTAGAGTCCCTTCCAACTCTACAATTCTATGATACTATGTCCACAGTATTCCCCTGATCCATGAAGCTTGTGGCTCATTCTTTTTGGGTGAAGACAGAGGCAAAGTAGGGGTCCAACAATTCTGCCTTCTCTCTGTCATTGAATAGCATTGAATAGCTCATTCTGTGTTTTGGCTCACCTGAACCTTCTCCCTGCAAGTGTTGGCTGCTTGTGTATATTTTTCTTTCATGATTTCTCTTTTCTTCCATCCATAAGAGCCAACTCCTAGGGTCTATGGGGGCTTTGGCCCCCACAATATAATATTTGAGGGGGCTGAGCCCCCACAAAGTGGATGGGCATTCCCATTCAAATGGTGTGCAAGGTGGGTTACCTGGCCCAACAATATTTTATTCAAGTTGTCACCCCAGCTTCCATCTCTTACCTTTCAGCTCATCTGGGAGCTACTTATGCAGCCACGCTGGTTTCTTTGGGTGTTACACACACACCATTTCATTAAAATAATTTGTTATAGAAAATAAAGCGATGAAAGAACAAAGAAGGAGAAAAAAGTGCAAAAAAAAATACATGGGATTTCACTCAGTAGTTCCTTAAGCTTTTTGAAATCAGCCTTCTTAATTGCCTGCTTATAATGAAACCCAAGAGGAAATGATTACTTCCTCCCAAGCTCCCCAGTACTTTCACTTTGTCAGTCAGTTCCTCCCTGTTAGTGAGGATCCCCTTGTTGCTTCTTCCACTTTCTGGAAAATGAAATTGTTAGTGAAGCAATTGAGGAATTTGTTGGACCTTGCATTCTTGGCAGAGTTTGAGTTCCAGCAGATATTGGGGTAGCTGAAGTCTTCCATGACTACTACCTCTCTCCTTTCTGAATGTTTGGTAAGGTGCTCTAGGAAGGCATCATCCAAGTCCTCAGTCTGGCTTGGAGGTCTATAGCCAACAGTCATAGTAAGATCACTGTTGCTTCTTACTCCTACCATTTTTACCCATAGACTTTGAGTCTGCTTTCCATGATCCAGGTCATGGATCTCTTTACAAACATACACATCCTTTATATATAATGCTACTCCTACTCCTTTCCTATTTAGTCTATCCCTTTTGAATAGGTTGTACCCAGTGCTGTTTTTCTAGAAAAAGGGATGCTGGAGCTCACCCTGAACTCCCTTGTTCTCTGAGAATGGCAATGGTGCCCATCTGAGAGGTGCCAGAGCTGAATTCTGGAGAGCTCCAGCTGGAGGTGGGGGGAGGCACCAGTTTCTATATTCCAGTCTTAAGTCTCATCTCACCAGGATTCAGTAATGACTATTAGGTTATATTTGCCACCCTGTATTAAGAGCTCAAGTTCCTCTTGCTTGTTTCCTGTACTCTGTGTATTAGTGTAGAGACAGCTAAAATGAACAACTAATATAAAGGTGATTGCTAAGATGTTGCTTTATTAAAATTACATTTTGTTTTCATTGTATCATTTCAAAAGGCCAAATGTGCTACCCTTTAAATAGGCCAGTTACAATTTTTACTAAGGAAAGACTGGACTACAACCAACACAACATCCACCCTAGCAACTCCACTCCCCCCCGTCCCTAAATCCCACACCAGATAGTAAGAATTCTGAAGCCTCACTGGGCTGTTTTTGAGGTCTCCCAATGGGTAGGTTGTGGGGGGGTTTTGGGGTTTTTTTGCACTTTGTAAAAATTGAGGTTTCTCCAAGCCTCTTGTATATGTTTGTGGCTATGTAAGCAATGAAACTTACAGCTTTTAACATTGAAAACAGAAGGAATTCTGATAATTGCATGCTCAGATGCATATGTATCTCACCCCAAGACACACATGCGGTATACAAAGCGCACAAGGAAAACACCATCACCTCTCATCCTAAGCCCAAGTGTCCACTCCCTACCCCCTTTCCATCAAATTGCTTCTGTTTCCCTTTGCTGAAAAGCAAGCAAGCAAGCACACTCTTTCACTTCTGCTCTTTCTGCAGCAGGCTCAGACACTGTTAGATGTGGGCTGATTTTTGTAGATTTGCTCTTTTTATATATATTAAAAACCCTCCCACATACCAAACCACTTCCATCTCTTTGCTGACAGTATAGCATCTTGACATTAGAGGTGAAAGAGGCAGAGACACTACATGAAATTCTGTCATGAGCTCGTTGGACTTTTTAAAAGAGCTGGGACATGTGAAAGAAGCCGAAGCTGTAAAGGTAGGCAAATGTTGTTGGTTTGTTTTTAAGCCTAAAATAGTTAGTTTAAGCTATAAGCTGGAAAACCAGGCATAGGTATGGTATTTGATAACCTTCATATTACTTGGAGCTTTATGATTTCAATAGGTCTGATTTTTGAAACTCTTGGGTATTTTTTCGCTTCTGTCCTGGATAGTGTTGTTTTCTTGTTTATTGTTTTTGTCTTTGTGGATTTTTGTAAATAAAAAGCAAATATTTTTGTTTTTCAGATTGTAAATAAAACTGAAAAATGAGAGATGGTATAGAAATGGGGGGGGGGTAGCTTTTGCTTACAAACATTAATAGTTAAGATACCCAAAGATGCTGGTATTTAAAGGAAATTGCAAAACCTTCTTCTAAGATAAAAATGTGCTTCGTAATGGCATGTTTTGCTCCTATCATAGGAACACATGAAGGTGCCTTATATGAAGTCAGACAATTTTTCCATCTAGCTCAGAGTTGTTCAAACTAACCAGTAGTGGCTCTTCACGGTTTCAAGCAGGGGTCCCTTCCAGCCTTATCTGGAGAAGCAGGGCATTGAACCAGGGGCCTTCTGCATCCAAAGCAGATGCTGTACCACTGAGCTCTTGCCCACTCCCATATATTGGCAGAGATATACAAATATAGCACCAATTCTGGGTTTGCTTGTCAGTTTGGAAGTTTCTGCTGGCAAATCTCTGTCCACAGACATTAGACACTCTGAAACAGTAGGTTCATCATCAGGGCCGGTTTTAGGTTTAATGAAGCCCTAAGCTACTGAAGGTAATGGGGCCCTTTATATGTCCAGCTGTCCTTTGTCAGCAACAAATTGTCGCTGTTTTTTGTGTTGAATATATGCTATATGGTAATTTATGGACCTAGTAGGTACCTAAAGCCATTTCCACATAACAAAATATGTATTTTATCAAAGTAATTGTTGAACTGAAATTACAATTAAGAAGAAGTGATATTTTAGGGAGCAGGCTAGCAGGTGGGGCCCATTACTTACATCATGGGAGTCTACACAACATAAAACACTGTTGCTGTATGAAGGTGTTTATTTTATTTGTTCTTTATCTTATATTTTGGAAATGTACTCCAATTTTTTTCTTTAAATGTTTTTGGGGCCCCCAAGAGAGTGGGGCCTTAAGCTATAGCTTGTTTAGCTTATACATAAATCCAGCACTGTTCATCATTAAATAATGTGATTAAATAGTTGGAGTTCTGAGAAAGTGGTGCCACGTGGGGAGGGCATTGGGGGAGTGCATCTTGCTCCTTCTGCCCTGCCAGCCCTGTGCTACAGGGCTGTGTGAAGAGGACACAACAGGAAGGGTGCATGCCTGTTGCATCCTCCTCCACATAGCGCTGCAGTATCACAAAGTGGTGCAGCGCTGGCAGGGCAGTGTGAGTGTTCCCTTTGTGCCTGCTAAGGGCTGCTGGTGCACAGGGGTGCAGCGTGGCCCCACTTGGCCCAGGTGAGCAGCATGTTGGAGATGAGGGCTTGACACAGGCTCCGTTCACGCTCCGCAGCCTGTGTCATGCATGCGCCCACCAGCAGCTCATGCAGTGCCCCTGGTCTGAGAGGTTCCTTTTGTTTTTGTTTTTGTTTTGGTTCTGTCACTTTCCCCAGGAAGATCTGCTGTTTACTGTTGAATTGGAACAAATGTCTATTGGGTTTTCTGTGGATTGATGTTCTGATTCAGCAGTGAAACGGTGAGTTTTCCTGGGGAAAGCAATGGGACAAAGAGAACCCCTCTTGGACGCATGACTAGAAATCATGGGACAAACAGAATAAATCACAGGACAAAGTAAGTGCACATGAAACACTAGTTATGCACAGATGCATTCATTCTGTGCAACTTTGGTTCTGGTGTGTTAAAACATAGCACTTAAAACATTTAATTGTGAATTTTAGATTTCCTTTAACTTCTTAAACAAAACACATACTGAGGTTTTGTCAAAATTTAAATGATTAGCTAAAAGTCAGGTGGACTAAAAATGATTTAAAATAACATGACTGCACTGTTTCTTTACAAAAATGGCATCTAGTACAGCAATCAGATATGCAATTTCCACCTATGAGATCCATCTGGTTGAGCCAAAGTGGCTCAACAAACTACCACAATGCCTTTCATTGCATAATAGGCAGATATGAATCAGCAACATGCCTGATAAGTTACAAGAGATGTTTTCAGCTAAAGCAAAGATGGACCAAGTTGTTTGTGGAATCACCTAATCATCTGCACGTTGGTCCCACCCCCCTTTTCTTTTGCAGAACTATGAATTTCCTTTCCCCTAATGACCATCTCCCAAGGAATGATTCTAATGGATCAACTTGTGAAATCCAAGATGGCTTTCTTGCAGGGACTCTGCCTGTGATGTACTCAGTCATCTCCACATTTGGTTTCTTCAGCAACATGCTGGCCCTCTGGGTGTTCCAGTTTGGCACACAGAAGACAAACTCCATCACGGTGTACATGAAGAACCTTGCCATCTCAGACCTCTTGCTTGCCCTCTGCCTGCCCTTCCGGGCTGCTTATCAAAATGAGAGTGGCCCTCCCATCCTGTGCAAAGTGGTTGGCACAGTCTTCTATATCACCATGTACATCAGCATCCTGCTCCTCAGCCTGATCTGCCTGGACCGCTACCTGAAGATCATCTGGCCCCTCCAGCAGTTCCGGATCCACAAAGTACCTCACAGCACTTCTGCCTCCAGAATGGTATGGCTGCTCTGCATTGCCATAATGCTGCCATACTTTTTCAACAAGGGCAACAGCAACGACCCCTGCAGCCACAAATGCTTCCACTTCAAGAAGAGAGGAGCTCTGGCAGCAGTGCTCAACATGACAGCAGTGCTCCTTTTCTTCTGCCTGTTGCTGTTTTTCCTTTACTCTTACAGCAAAATCTCTCTTAAGCTCCACACAGCATCCTTAAGGAAAAGTAAGCGGGTTAGCAGCAGAGCCACTCTGAAGATCTCTGTGGTCCTGCTCGTCTTCACAATATGCTTTGCCCCCTACCACGTGGTCCGAGTGCCTTACATCTTTGCCCAGGTAGGGGTCTTTTCTGCTGCAGAGAGTGTTCAGGCCCTCCACTTTGCCAATGAAGTTGTCCTTTGCATCTCAGCCCTCAACTGCTGCTTCGACCCCATTATTTTCTTTTTTCTGTCCAGCAATTTCAAGAGGGCTCTGCTGGCAGCCACCCATGGAAAACTGAAAGGAGCTCTTCAGAAGAACCCAGACATGTCAGGCAACAGAAAATCCATCACAAACTCCAGATTGCAGGACAGCTGAGGTACAGGATGAGCGACTGGTTGTTGGGCAGTATGGAAGATATGCAGCAAATATGTACCACATTTCAAGGAAGCCAGACGCTAGGCTAGGGAATGGACATATATGCACAATCCAAACAGGGGTGCAGAAACCTCTTCTATGTAGCTGGAATGTATCCCATTGTTCAAAGGTAGGAGTCGCATCCATTGCTCCTTCTGCTTTTGCCTATAACCCCAGCCATCTCTGGTTTGTGGTTCCATGAGAGAATGCAACCCTCAGGCTAAAAACAGCTCCCCATCCCAAATTCAAGCAACTGAGTCCTATTACCATGCCTCTTTGTTTTCATATACATTCAGTAATACCTTCCTTGGCTGGTGGCTTGTATTTAATTGGTTTTAAATGTTGCCCTACAATGAAAATGTTGCATTTTTCTTTAAGACGTTGTGGTGGTGGTGGTGGTGGTGGTGGTAGGATCGAAGACCCAGTGCTGAAATTGTATGCTTAGTTACACCACACTCACAGGTTTAACAGTATATTCTAGGACCAGAGGCAGTTTTAGGGTAGCGCAACTGCACTGTATGCTGAATTGCAAGGGGTGCCACAAAAATGCTGCAGAATAGAGCGCAAGAAGAGCCCCCCCCAGTTTGTGTCACACAGGGCGCCACTGAAAGTTGAGAGCCCAAAGTCCGCCACTGCCAGGATGTATACGGAAAAAGCAGCAGCTACAGGTGCTGAAGCATAAAATGGTCAGTTACACTTGCATGTATCATAGGGTGGAAGCATGACTGGGTCACACTAAAAGCTCATAGTTTGGAAACCACTTTTTATCTGTTTTCCTCAATGGTTTCCCTATGAATTTGCCTGGCCTGGAGAACTCCAGCCTTAACAGAGCAACAGTATTTATAGTTCTGCCAATGCTTTACTATTCAACTAGCTTCTCTCCCTCCCACACTGAGATTACGGTGCCTTTTTTGTTCCCACAAACTTTTAACTTGTTTGATTTTATAGTTTTAACTGACCTTTGGCTTTTTTCCATCCTGCAACTGCAAACTGTTGAAAGTCTATTGTAATTAAGCAGTATATGCATTGTTTAATTAAATATATAAATAAAAGACTGCATAATCAGAGAAATGTATATTTATTGATCATTTACCTTATTTCTGCAATTAAACAGACATTTATTTCAGTTTATATATTTTATAATTGCTTCATATGGGATTACATATTTTTTATTCTTCAAAGTAACAAGGAGCAAGTTTTATTTATTTAAAAAAATATTTTTATTTATTTTTAACATATATATAACATATTTATTTAGTATATTAATAGCTGCACAGAGCTTCTCGACTTCCCTCCATCCCATTGTCTGGTTTTTTAATATCTATTTCATATTCACACACATTTGTATCATCTCCATTCTACCTTTTTCCTTAGATATTTTAAACTTTAAACATCAGTAGATAGGTCCATCTGTCTGACAATACAAGATTAATCTCAGTCCTGCTAGTGTCTTTAGATGTTTACAATGATTGTCTATATATTGAATAAATTTACTCCAGTCACTCTGGAACGTTTGGTTGCTCTGGTTTCAGATTTTTACCGTCAACTTTGCTAGTTCTGCATAGTCCATCATCTTAGTCTGCCATTCTTCTATCATTGGTAATTCTTTTTGTTTCCATTTGGGGGCCAGTAAAGTCCTAGCTGCCATCGTGGCATACATAAACAGTCTCTTATCTACCTTTGAAATTTCTTCTCCTGTCATACCTAACAAGAACGCTTCAGGGTTTGTACTCTCTTTCAGCCTCAGCCCTCTGCCGATCTATGCATTTGGTGTTTTGAATAAGAATAGCTTGCCTTCACTGTGGCATTTCCGGTCATATTTTGAAACCAGCATTTTCTGCATCTCTCTCTCTCTGCTAATAAAAAAAGTGGCATTTCTTTTCAGAGCAGCTGGCTTGTGGCTTAATATTCTATTCAACAGGTAGTTTCATGTATAATGCAACCATAGCTTTCTCAGTTCCAGCTAACTTTCTGTAGCTACAGTGGTACCTCGGGTTACATACGCTTCAGGTTACATACGCTTCAGGTTACGGACTTCACTAACCCAGAAATAGTACCTCGGGTTAAGAACTTTGCTTCAGGATGAGAACAGAAATTGTGCTCTGGCGGCATGGCAGCAGCCGGAGGCCCCATTAGCTAAAGTGGTGCTTCAGGTTAAGAACAGTTTCAGGTTAAGAATTGACCTCCAGAATGAATTAAGTACTTAACCCGAGGTACCACTGTATATCTAAACATTTTTTAAAAAAATTCATTATAAATCTTTTCCCAAAATCTTTTAACTTTATCACATGTCCACCACATATGGTAAAAATCTTCTTTATCCTTACATTTCCAACAGTTCTTGTTTCTTATCCTATACATTTTAGCTAATTTAGTTGGAGTTAAATACCACCTATACATCATTGCAAGGCGCAAGTTTTAGGGAGCATAAATGTCAGAATGCCTGAATACAAATCGCTGAGACGTCGAACACCCTTTAAAAGTATGTTTGGCAAGGACATCGTTTCCAAGATTAAATGACAACAGCACAGCATTGAGTCCTGTTTAGCAGCAGCATCCACTCTGTTTCTGATGTTCGGGTTGGGAATTTGATTGTGTATATAACCAAAAGTGGCCCAACAAGGACTGAGCATGCTTGGATGACTTGAAATGGTGAGCGCTGTGGTGGCTGACACCCATTTGTACTGGTAAGGCAAGATACCCAACAGCCAGTGTCGATTGACAGGTGCAACCTCAGCCAATGTCAGACAAAGCCAATTCCTTCTGGTTTTTGTCCCTATTCTTCTCTTCCCTGCTGAAGTCTATAAGGGCAACGTTGAGGCTAAGGATGAGGAAGCTGTCAGGCAGGGCCACTCCTTGGATTGCTTCTGAGTAAGAAGGTAGGCAGATGGGACCTGCCCAGAGACAGATTAAGGCTGTTGGAGCAGCGCCCCCATTGCCCCAATGGACTACCCTCCTTTGGGTGAGTGACAGTCACTGGGAAAGCAAGAAAGGGGGAATGCAATGGAGGAGCTGGAATCCTGAACAGGAGCATCAAATGCTGTTGATGTTTTGTCGCAGTTCCTACTTGTTTTGCCTATTTCCCTTTCCATCAATCTAACCAGCTGCAACCCTCACATCTAGCAGGCCAGCTGATGGCCTTCTATGGGCCATATCATTAATTTAATTTGTAGATTTATACTCCGCCTTTCGATCAAGCAATCTGCAAAACAGCTGTCAACTGAATACAAATAAACATGCACAGCCAAACCTATATCCGGAAGCTCTTGTTTGTGTGGCTGCTGGCAGGTGCCTGTGTCCTTCTCCTCACTTCTACAACCCCAAGACAAATGCGGAAAGGGCAGCAGGTCAAAGGTGGAACATCTACTTTGGACACAGAAGGTCCCTTGTTCAACCCCAGCATTTACAGGTAGGGCTGGGAATGTCCCCCCTGAGTGAGACACTGCTATTCAGCACTGACACTACTGAAAGAGATGGACCAATGATTTGACTCAGGACTTGGCAGCTCCCTATGTTCATAATTGGTTGTTGGAGCACTGTTGTTTTTTTAAAAAAATAATTATTAAAGTTTTCTTGGTTTACAAAGGTATGCGCAATGTCTCTTCTTTCAAGTTACATTTTCCATACATACATTTTCATTTGTTGAGACATTAGGCTTACATTGGGAAGGAAAAGGGGGGAAGAGGTGGAAGGGGGAAAGGCGAGAGAGGTGGGGTCAGGAGGCGATGTTTCTGTTTTGCTTAATGTATGTGTGGGGTTTTGTGTCAGTGTCGTTTGTGCAGGTTCTCTTTGCTATTTGCTTGTGTTCCTTTGGTGATGAGAGAAGTTGGGGTTGGCCTAGGGTGTGGTTGGTTGTTTCTTGTTGGCTGTGGTGAACTATGTTTTCATGTGCGAGTGGGGTGGGTGAGTGTTTTTGAATCAGGTTAGTCATATTGATTCGTATGCTGCTGGTGGATTCTGGTCTATTTGGTACCATTGGTCCATTCTGACAGGTCTCTCCAGTGTCTGGTTATGATGCTTCTGGCTTCTGAGAGTAGGTGGGTTATGAGTTTTTCGTGATGTGAGTGGGCATTATTGTCTTGGAAGATGCTTAGTAGGGCCAGTTCTGGGGTGATTTCTAATACTTGCTTAGTTATTTTACATATTTCTTGTATGGCTGTTGTGCATACAACAGCAAAATAGTTGGATTTTGGGGCATTCCCACCACATGTGTATGTATGTGCCTGTGGAGGTGCACCTTCTCCAGCATTTTGGTGAGGTTCCTGGGCATATTAGCACTGGTTTCGTTGGTGTTAGGTACCACCTGTAGGTGAATTTCAGAGTGAGTTCTCTCCTTCTCGTTGATATGGATTTAAGGGGGAGTTTAGACCACATTCTGGTCCACTGAGTGGGGTTAATCTCATAACCTATGCCGTCTTCCCATTGTTTTTTGCTTACATCTAGGTGGTTCGTGGGGTTTTGGAGTAGTATTTTTTATATTGTGGATACCATCCCATTGCCTTGTCCCTTTGTTGTTAGGAGGAGGATTTTGAAGGTTGTCAGGGGCCTAGTTGCTGCTGATTTTACTACTGGATTGTTTAAGAGGGCATGTAATTGGTGGTGTGTTAATCAGGGCATTTGGGCGTCTTCTAGTTTGTCTTGTATTTCTTGTGTTGACAAGGGTTTGTTAATTTTATAGAAGTTGGTTAGGCGATATAAGCCTTTCGTTTGCCAGGTTTTTATCTGGAGGTTTTGTGCTGAGTGATGGAATAATGGGTGGTGTGCCAGGGGAATTAGTGGGAATGGGGTTGGGGACAGTTTGCCCATTTCTGTTTTACATGCTTTAAGCATGGTCTGTGTGAAACTGGTGAGTGTGGTGGGAATTTTTGCTTAGTTTGTTTGGAAGGAATGGGTATGCTGTGGTGCAGATATTTTCAATTATGTCTCTCTCCAGATGTACCCATTGTTTTGTCTCATTTTCTAGTATATATGGGATTATGTGGCGTATTTGGTTGGCAATGTAATATGTTTCTATGCTGGGGATTCCCCATGCTCCCTCTGAGGAGGGGAGGTACAGATATTTGGGACTTATTCTTGGTTTTTGTGTGAGAAGATGAATAAGTGTAGTTTTTTCCTGCCATTTGGGGAGTTGGGTTGGGGGGTGATCCAGTTGGGAGGGTTTGGAATAGGTAGGTTAGTTTTGGGAGGGTGATCATTTTGATCATGGCTATTTTGTCTGAGAGAGTGACGTTCATGTTCCATCTCTTTAAGTCTTTGTTAATTTGCTGCCAACAAGGGGTTGTAGTTGTGGAGTTATAATTTATTGAGGTTTCTGGTTCTTTGTACCCCATGGTATCTGAACTTGGTGTGGCAAAGTTTTATTTTGGTGACATTAGTGAGTTCTTTTTGGGTGTTGTTAATGGAGAAATCCAAGGGCTCCCTTGGACAAAAAGCAAGGACACCAACCAGGAAAATTGGAGCAAAACAGCAGCCAGTAGGCTTCGTCTTTATTGAAGACTATCGCGACAGGACTCCCACCTACCACAAGGTAGAACAAGATGGAAGCCCCGAACAAAAGAGCCCCCAAACTTTTATTAGCTGCTAATCCCCATGTTACACCCCCCCAAACTACATCACTAATACATCATGGTTACATCATGAAAGGGGAGGTCTGACGGCAGTAATCTGAGCATCCTGGACCCTGCCCCATGGTTCTCCTTGCCCTCCACCAAACACCCATCAAGTGTAACAAGAGATATTTACATTTCCCTGTTTCCCAGCCAAGTCAGTCACACCCTTTTGTCATCATCTGGGTTTGTTATTTCTGGAATGGCTACCTGTCTGGCACTCATGTATCAGGATGCCAGGAATGATCCCTCAGGCAGAGAGGCTGCTGAGTAGCTGAGCTCACATGTCTATATGAATTTTTGAAATTTTCTCAGTGAGCCAGTATGTAGATACATTTATCAGTGAATTGTTACATTTGGTATCGTGCAGCAAAGGCCCTTTGGAATTGAAGAAACTGTGATGAAGCATTTTGTGGGGACAAATAACAAGAGTCACAAAAGTGATTGTGCTGATTTTGGTAGTGGGCTGCATGTGCATGATATCTGCTAGAGGGGCAACCCCCCCCCCAACCTATACATAAATTCCTGCAACAGTGTGAGGAGGGGTGTTGAAGCACACAGCTTCCGACTTTGCAAAATTTACCTGTAGGCCCGATACCATTGCAAATGTGTTGAGTTCTCTGATTAAGGAGGTTGCTGTATTTATGGGGTCTGGTGTTGTGAAGGACTGTTTGTCCTAGCACTGGGGAAGGGGGCTGGAAATGAAAACAACCAGCAGCTTCTGCTTTTCTGGATGATTTGACAGAGTTTCTCCTGAAAGAAGGTATGTGTGTGTGGAGTTGGCCTTTCTCCTCTGAACGGTTGAAGAGTACCCTTCCTCTGACTTCTAAAGAATAATACTCTCCAGGATTATTCCTGGTGTTTCCACATTAGGAGTTTACTCTGGAACATAGCTGTCAACTTACAGATTTGAAAATAAGGGACCAGCAGCCTCGAAAATAAGGGATCAGCAGCCAAAATAAGGGATTTTCCGGGCACAGGTATGTTCAACTTCTGAGCCCCTCCAAGCCAAAGGCAGAAAGCCCAGCCAGCAGCCAAACAAAGCCTCATCAATAAGGGACAGCAGCAGGACATGGCGCTGGGATAAGGGACCGTCCCGCCAAATAAGAGACGCTTGACAGCTACACTCTGGAACTGCTACACTTTGCTCCTTCATTTTGTTTACAGGGCATCTACACAACATTGGCATCAAATCATCATCGTCTTGTTTCCCCAAGGTTTTCCCTTCTCTTTGGGGAACTCTGAAAATCTGACACTGACACTGAATGGGTAGAGCACCCTAGCTACTGGAAGATGTGTGGTTTTAAATGTGCATAACACCATTTTAGTGGCAGGTTTTTGTTCTAAATAAGAAGAAGAAGAAGAAGAAGAAGAAGAAGAAGAAGAAGAAGAAGTCGTCAGTGGGTGGTGTTCAACGCTAGTCACACTCAGAGTAGACCCATTGAAGTTAATGGAAATGACAAACAAGTTCATTAGAGTAGTGGGTTTACTCTAAGAAGGGCTTAGGTAAATATTACCCCAACTTTAAATTTGCACTGAAACACTCTTTCGTGTAAACACTAATCCTTAAGAGATTCACATGATACACACCTAAATAAACTCGTATTTTAAAAACTGATTTGAAATAAACACACATTTCTAAAATGACATGCTTGGTATACATGCAGAGACACACTGGAAAAACTGTTTCACTTCCACATTTGCATCTGTGCACATTGCTTACAGAAGAGAGCAATGACCAGGCAACCAGAAAACAGGAACAGGAAACCTCTAGTCTATGAGCCAAATTAGGCCCTCCAAGGGTCTTAATTAGCCACACAATGTTGTCATGCCCACCTGCCCCTGCTGGGTGCCCTATGACATCAGATGTGGGAATAGGTAGAGGTGCATCTGCAAATGAACAATCAAGCACATTAAACCATGGTGCCAATTATCCCTTGGCATGTGGGGCTTTTGCAATTGACCTTAAATATAGCCCTAGTTACGGTTGGTTTCACTTGGGAGCTCCCAACTGCTGCTCCTGAGTGGAGCTGATCCCTGCTAGAATTGGCTCCATTTGAGCACTCCCAAGTGAAACCAATCCCAGGCCAGCTTGCATTTAGGGGCCTAATGCAGTTCAATCAATTTTTATCCTCTCCCTGGTGCTTTTTAACATCTTTATGCGCCCCCTTGCCCAGATTGTCCGGAGCTTTGGGCTGGGTTGTCACCAATATGCTGATGACACTCAGCTCTATCTGCTGATGGATGGCCACACCGACTCAGCCCCGGACACACTGACCAGATGTTTGGAAGCTGTGGCTGGATGGTTTTGTGGGAGCCGATTGAAACCAAATCCTTCGAAGACAGAAGTCCTCTGGCTGGGTTGGGATGGTATGGGGATGAGGGACCAAATCCCTTCTCTTGCAGGGGCCCAATTAGTGTCATTGCCTTCTGTTAAGAGTTTGGGTGTTCCATGGAGGCGCAGGTTACAGCAACAGCCAAGGTGACATTTTTCCACCTGCTCCGCATCAAGCAGTTGGTCCCTTACCTTTCCCGCCCCGACCTGGCCACAGTGATCCATGCATCAGTCACCTCCAGGCTTGACTACTGTAATTCGCTCTACACAGGGCTGCCCTTGAAGCTGTCCCAGAAACTCCAGCGGGTGCAGAATGCTGCAGCGAGGCTCCTCACGGGGTCTCTGCCATGGGAGCATATTCACCCAGTGCTTTTCCAGCTGCACTGGCTCCTGGTGGAGTACAGGATCAGATTTAAGGCGTTGTTTTTGACCTTTAAAGCCCTTCATGGCCTAGGACCCTCGTACCTACGGGATTGCCTCTCCCGGTATGCCCCACAGAGGACCTTAAGGTCCATAAATCGCAACACCCTAGAGGTTTGGGACCCTAAGGAAGTTAGATTAGCCTCAACCAGAGCCAGGGCTTTTTCAACACAGGCTCCGGCCTGGTGGAATGCTCTGCCTCATGAGACCAGGGCCCTGCAGGATCTGATTTCCTTCTGCAGGGCCTGTAAGACAGAGTTGTTCCGCCTGGCCTTTGGCTTAGAATCAGTTTGATTCCCTCCCCCTCTTTCTCTTTCCTTTCTCCTCCTGTGAAGAAGCTGCATCTTAATGTTTTAATGTTGTATTTTAGTCTTGTTTTTAAATTGTATTTTAATCAACTTGTTTTTATTATTGGTTGTTAGTCGCCCTGAGCCCGGTCTTGGCTGGGGAGGGCAGAGTATAAATAAAATTTATTATTGTTGTTGTTATTGTTATTGTATGTAGCAAAAGGCCTTCACAATGAACAGCAGGGGACAAAAGCATGGCTTTCCTCTAAAATCAAACAACTGAAGTCTATTAAAGGGCTACAGCATAAAAGTTTATGAACACAAAAATTAAAATTAAGAATAGATTTTTTAAAAAAATTATCTGCGTGAATGCAAAAGCCCTACTTGCTGAGGCACAATGGGGGGAGAATGAAAGCTGCCACCTCGGAAACACCCAAGTTGTCATTTTTTGTTATGAAACCTTGGGTCCTAATAGGGTGCCATTGTTGGATGATCTTGTGAAGTGCTTAATTGAAATATTTAAATATAGAGGGTGCTGGGTTCAGATTACGGAAATGAAGTCATTTTCCTGCGAAACAAGAGGCAATGTTGTATTTGGCTAGATGAGGTTTACCACAAGCTTCTATGTGGTTTCTATGCAGAATTAATGTCATTGCAATAAAGCAAGCACTGCCTTGTTTCCACACACCCCAAGTGTCACTTGTCTTTCATTTCTTAACTGTGCTGCAGGGAAAGGATGGGTGGGAAACAAGATCTGACCAGGAGGCCAGATCCTCAGCTGTCCTACAATCCAAAGGCATGCTGCTGCTCATCTTCTCTAGACTGCTTCATCTATGCTAAGAAAGACTGTGAGGGTTAAAAATAGGTGTGCATGAACTGTGTAGAACAGGGAAGGGGAATCTAGCAGGGTTGATGGACTTTGGGAGTCCAGGAACTTCCAGAGGGCCATAGGTTCCCTGTACCTGATGTAGAAAAGATGAAAACTTCTCTCCTGTTTCGTAACATTTGGAATTTGAGATCATTTAACAAGCTGATTGGCAATAGGGTTCAGTATCAACAAGAGGAAAAAGTATTTCCCCAACACACTAAGCATAATTTATGGAATTTGCAAGTATAAGATGAGGTTGTGATAGTCGCAGGCTTAGACAGCTTTTGTAAAGGATTCTTAGGTTCGTGGAGGACAACTGTGAAAGTGCTTATTAAGCCATGCAGAAATAGTGGAACATGTGGCCCTCCACATGTTGCTGGACTCCCATCACCCCTGAGCACTGGCTGTCCTGGCTAGTGCTGATGGGGACTGGGAGTTCAGCAACATCTGGGAGGACCACAGGTTAGCTAACCTTGAAGTAAATGGATTTTGATCTGATGTAGCAATCCAAGTTTTTGTTCTGCATGCTGTTTCCCAACAAAATTCTGCACACAGATTAACCCAGGTCTAGTGCAAAGGAACACTGAATTCCACATGTAGAATTTTACTTACATTTATTTAGTTAGCTTCTGCTCAGTAGGGAGACAGCAAGCACCTAGGAAAGGCTTATTCCCTATTCTCCCCCCCCCCCCCTTTGATGGAGATAGAAATGTGAAAAGTCATTGGGGAAAGGTGAAAGAGCTTTCATCGTATCTACAGAAAGTTAGCTGGAACTGAGAAAGCTATGGTTGCATTATACATGAAACCACCTGTTGAATAGAATATTAAGCCACAAGCCAGCTGCTCTGAAAAGAAATGCCACTTTTTTTATTAGCAGAGAGAGATGCAGAAAATGCTGGTTTCAAAATATGACCAGAAACGCCACAGTGAAGGCAAGCTATTCTTATTCAAAACACCAAATGCATAGATCGGCAGAGGGCTGAGGCTGAAAGGGAGTACAAACTACGTCAGCCGTTTCTGATGTTATAATTTCCCTGCTTGCAAAAATGTGTGCAGGGAAGTGCCTGGGCAACAGCAGAAAGCACAGCTCTAGATCTGCATCTTGGAGCAAACACACTTGGCATTTGCCTTTCAACCTTCATTTCTTTCTGCAAAACCAGGTCCCACTTCAGAAAGTCACCAGCTTCCAGGCAACAGGCCTCAGGAGTACGTATGGCTGGTGGTGAGGTTTATGACTCAGAAAGATTCACAGAAAGATGGTGTGCTTGCATGAAAAGGTGCCTCCTTATTGAGCTATTGCATCACAATCAGCTTGATCATGATGTTCCACACTTTTTAAAAAAGCTAACACAAGCAGGGAAATTATGTGTGTCACCCTGCTCACTCCCCCAAACCTGAATGGTATTGTATGCTAATAAATGTCAAAGAAAAATTTCATATAGGAATTAGAACCATGTTAGGTCACTGAGGAAGCCCCACAAAGGGCTGAGGAACCTGCACCCTCTAGATGTTGTTGAACTACAACTCCCATCAGCCCCAGGCAGCATAACCAACAGTCAGAGGTGATTGGAGTTAGGAGTCCAGCAGTTATCTTGAGGGTCACAGCCGACCCAACCCTACCAGACAGCAATGATGTGGTACAAGTACTCAAGCAAAGGGTTGGTAGAGTAATGGAAACAACCAGCTCTGGACACTTTGCTGGTGACCAACTTGTATGGTACTTGAAGACCACAGGAGGCTAGGCTACAATCTATACTCTTGCACTGGATTTGTGTTTTCCTGGAGAAGCATTAAATGACACAAGTCTCCCCATCCTCCTTCACTTTCCGCTGCAGCAGTACTGTCCAAAATACATCACTTCTATGCAGAACTCAGCTTTAGATCTCTGTTTTTGGCAGTCATGGAGGAATCTAACAGCTTATCTTAAGTTGATGCATGAAGGGGAAGCCACCAAGCACCAAAAATGCCACCAGGGAAGTACAGCATCACTTCCTGTTTACTAATACAGAGACCAGATTTTCACAGCTGCTTAATGGGTCTCTCTTTAGTTTGGCATGTCAAAGGTCAGTTATAGCAATGACCCTGTGCACCTGATTCTGGTCATACCTCAGATCATGTGGAGATGGGAACTGCTTTCCTTTTCCAAGGAGAAAAAAAGTCCACTGGCCTAGCTAGCTGAAGCCGGTTGCCAACCCCCTATTTGACAAAAAGGTGTTCCAGCTACAGGAAATGGATTTGGCCCAGATCTTGCCAGATTCAGCTGTGGAAATGTGTTAAACCACAGCAGACTTTCTACTACCTCTTTCAGCTCTTTCAACGCCTCCCTCTGCCTGAGATTAAAAACATATAAAATATTTTCAGGCATTTACTCTCAAATACATTGTGAAGCTAATTTCACAGAAACAAACATGCACAATTTTTTTTTAAAAAAAGACTAAACTGTGTGAACTGAAGACATAGGCAAGGAGTCTGCATATGAAAATAAGTGTTGCATTGTTAGCCATGATTAACAACTGAAGCATGGATGCAAATCCAATGTGGGCTGGGTGGCAGGAAGTTTACATTCAATTCAGGGACAGAGAAAGTGGGTCTTTAGCTGCTACTTGAGGGGCTCATGCAATGGCAGGTAATGACTTCCTGTGTCACCAGAAATAGCAGCCCTTGATATCCCAACTTTGTCCTGGCCAAGAACAGCAACATGAGAGGAAGAAGTCCCACTGTGCTGGTAGGACCCATAAGAAGGTACTCATGGTGAATGGCTTACATTCATACCTCATCTGCACATACACAGAATCCTTTGTTCGTGGCCAAAAAAAGCTATTTTGTACAGGCAGTGAGGTGGTTGGGCACAGTTTCTTCACTTAAGACATTCACTTGAATTCTAGCAGAAGTGTCCTCCATGTGCTATTCCTGAGAAAGGCCCGTAGTTCAAAAACAAAGCTGGTAAGTTGCTCAGCCAGCAGAGAGATTCCCAACTCAAGGAGTGCAGAATTTAAGGAAGATGGCTTTGTTTCTTTTTCCCCCTTGAGATATTTTCTAGAACAGGGCTCAACTGCTTCAGGCCTTCCCTTGAAACAGCAGTGCCGATGGTTAATTTTAGATGCTGGACTTAATGGTCTTATGCAGGGGCCAATCTACTATGAAACAAATGAAGCTTAAGCTTCAGGACCCTTAATCCCAGAGGGGCTCCAGAAGTGACTTTAGTGCAGCTGCACAAGTCAAATCAATTAATTTTTCAACAATCCCAAAGTTTGAGAGTCAGTAGCACAAACGCTGCAAAGGTGGAGTGTCGCGGGATAGCAATTTCAATCAAAATATGAGATGCAGTAGTTGAATTATGATTTTTTAATTGCAGTGATGTGTCATGAAACAACCCCATTGAGGAAGTCAACCGTGGTTACACCATACCTCGTTCTTGGTTGCAAAAGGGCCCCCATAACAGAGCAAGCTTCAGGGCCCCCCAAATGTAGGCCCACGTCTGGTCTTATGGGAAGTCAGTGATTTTTCCCACCTGTATGGAGGAACATTGCCTTGTTTTGTTCTGGCATCCTTGGTACTAGATATGAGTACCAGCACCTCATTATTTTTTTTAACCAAAGAAACCACAGCTGGGAATCCTTCCTCACTTTAGATGGTCATTCATCTTGTTCCAGTAACTTCAAAAATGTGGAAAGTCAGTCCTGCTGCCATGTCTGTCGGCCTCCATGCTCATTTTGCTGTGGGGACCATGACCCCTGCCCCAGAGTCCTGCCCTGACAGTGCCACGGCTCCTAATTCAATTACTTTCCTATTGCTCACAAGGTGAGAGGCTATCAACGAAGTAGGAGTAAATCCTTGGAAGGCCAAAGCAAAAAGAAAAGAAAAGAAAAAGCACAAGGCAAAAAAAAAATTCAAGAACCAAAATGAAGAAAGGGCAGCTATCATGGACTAGGAGGAGCTATCATGGCAAAAGAAAAACTAACGCAGGATATGGGGAAGGGGGAGATATCACTGCGCACAAACTGTCGTTTGCAGATCTGGTAAGGAAGGACCCCCAGCATAATTACCTGGCTCTAGCCATGCAGCTCTCCTCTCTCGCCACAAAACTTCCTGTAGCTGCTTTCCTATCAATATGGCAGGTTTGAGCCATCAGCAGGCAATGGGGACAACCCTAAAAGCTTCCAACACCCGGCACTTGTGTATTTTTGAAGGTTTTTGAAGACTGGTGGCGGGTGGAGAGAGTTCTCTCCCCACACTTCTAAGGACACTCACTTGTCCTGTGGTCAGCAAAACTATGGAGTGCCAGTGTAAAGAATGCCCGCTGACCAAGGTTAGCGTTATAGTTCAGTTACAACAGCAAAAAGGCACAACAAGATCTGGCACCTTGAGTGCTGCAGCGGACTTTGATTCCTTCCCGCACCAAATGTGTCCATTGTGCCGTGAAAGCCAAAGGGAGTTGGACAACAAAAGACCAAAAAACTGGGATAGTGTGTGGGGGTGGGGTGGGGGGAAAGGCAAATAAACTGCATGGGCTGGCTGACAATCAAGTAATCCCATGGGGAACTCTCCTCCTCTTGCGAGCAGAAGGTCAAGTCTGTGAGGTATATTGCGAAAAGCTCTCTCTCATTCCTGGATCCGCAATTCCCAAAATTCTGGAAGCACAGGTCAAGCTAGGCTTGCAGCCCCAGGAAGCGGGCTGTATTCAGCACGTCATCTCTCGTCAGGTAGCAGCCGCAGAGCTGGCGGTAACCTGTGAAAGACTCCCGGCCGTGCAGAACTCGCCAGTTGTCCACAAACAGGGCCTGCAGAAAGAACAAATGGGAAATTTGTGTCCATGCCGCAAGGCTCTTCCTATACCTGTTACATCATTGGCGTCTGGTTAGGTAATCTTAGCAGGAACAGACATGTAGCTCGTCTCCCCCATTCTTTTGGAAATGGAAGACAAGCTGAGGAAGCTGCTTTATACAAGGGTCAGAAGATCTGTCCATCCAACCCAGGATTGTCTGTACAGCTTTGCATTACAACTCTCTTAGTGGGGGGTAGGAGAGCTAAAAATAATGCCAATATATTTTGCATCTGGCAACCCATGAGCTCCTTTGGTTTCAGACAGTACATGGGTATGAGAGTCTAAAAAGCCTGGAACACGAGTTTTTATTGCCCTCTAGTGGCTATGGTGGCTCATTACATACAAGTAATGTATTTACTAGACGTGTATACCCAATTCTGACCAAACTAAGCCTCCTGATATATATTGTGCTCTAGGAAGCTGAGTTTGGTCAGAATCTAGCATACACTTCCAGAGTTAATGCTAAAAACATTACTTCTGGTCAATGAGCCACCATAGCTGCTAGAGGACTGTGGAAATTTGTATCCCAGGCTTTTTAGACCTGTCTACCTATGCACTAGCTGAAACCAAAGGGGCACATTGGTTACCAGATGTGACCCCCCCCCCCAGCTCTCCTACATCACTATCTGGGTCACAGGTAGAGGGGTCTTTCCCACCACTTGAACTGGAGAGGCCACGTATTGAAGGAGCATGTGTCTGTCTGTGTACGTTTATGTGTCTGCTCCCAGTACGTTTCCAAGCACAATTCAAAGTGTTGGTGCTGACCTTTAAAGCCCTAAATGGCTTCGGCCCAGTATACCTGAAGAAGCATCTCCACCCCCATCATTCTGCCTGGACACTGAGGTCCAGTGCTGAGGGCCTTCTGGCGGTTCCCTCACTGCGAGAAGCCAAGTTACAGGGAACCAGGCAGAGGGCCTTCTCGGTAGTGGCACCCGCCCTGTGGAACGCCCTCCCACCAGATGTCAAAGAGAAAAACAACTACCAGACTTTTAGAAGACATCTGAAGGCAGCCCTGTTTAAGGAAGCTTTTAATGTTTAACAGACCACTGTATTTTAATATTTTGTTGGAAGCCGCCCAGAGTGGCTGGGGAAACCCAGCCAGATGGGAGGGGTATAAATTAATAATAATAATAATAATAATAATAATAATAATAATAATAATGTGTGTAGTCATGATGAGGCTACTTATTACAGCAACGATGGGGGAAGTCAGCTGGCTCCTTTCTCCCTTCACCCCAACTTTGAAAGGTGGGTGGGTCCACAAACCTGTCAATCATCTCGAGTCATTTGTGACACCACAGAGGGCCTTCTTGGCATTTGCGCTCGCTCTGTAGAACGCCCTCTTGTCAGATGTCACGGAAACAAACAACTATCTGACTTTTAGAAAACATCTGAAGGCAGCCCTGTATAGGGAAGTTTTAAAATATTTGATGTTTTACTGTGCTAAATGCTTTTACTTTGTTGGAAGACACCCAGAGTGGCTGGGGCAACCCAGTCAAGATGGGCAGCATATAAATAATAAATTATCACCCGTAACCATCATCAGCGGATGACTTCAGAAGGTCTCCCTCTCTGCACCTCTCAACTGATGGGGGCTGAAAGCAGCCCCAATCTGAGCCACATCATTCCTTGCTCTACACCTTATGCCACATATGACGTCAGACCTTGGACAGATGGGCGTGGTTTGGGTAAAAACAGCCTCATGGGCTAAACTGGCCCACGGGCTTCAAGTCCCCCACAATATGAACATAAAAAGCTACTTTATACCAAGAATTGAGTGTCTGTTGCCCACTTCACTCTTGAGTAGATGTTAGTTTGGTGTTAAATTAGTGCTGGGAGCCTCAGTATGTTCCCTTCATGTTTCCCCTGAGATACTTGAAAGAGATATCAAGGATGGTTCAGATGCAGCACACATATATTTCTGCCCTCCTGCATGGAAGAGGTTGGACACAAAGCAAAGAACAGCCCTGCTGGATCAAGCCAAAAAGGCTCCACAAGTCCAGCGTCTTGCTATCACTGTGTTCAACCAGATGCCTATGAGAAGCTTGCAGGGAAGACCAGAACAGCCCTCTCCCCACCTGCGATTCCTAGCGAGTGGCAGAGGCTCTGGCAGTCGGGGTAGAACACAGCCATTGTTGTCACTAAGAGACATGAATAGCCCTCTCCTCTGTGAACATGTCCAACCCTCTTTTAGTAGATGTAAAGGGACCCCTGACCATTAGGTCCAGTCGTGACCGACTCTGGGGTTGCTCACTCATCTCGCTCTATAGGCCGAGGGTGCCGGTGTTTGTCCGCAGACAGCTTCCGAGTCATGTGGCCAGCATGACTAAGCCACTTCTGGCAAACCAGAGCAGCGCACGGAAACACCGTTTACCTTCCCGCCTGAGCGGTACCTATTTATCTACTTGCACTTTGATGTGCTTTCAAACTGCTAGGTTGGCAGGAACTGGGACTGAGCAACGGGAGCTCACCCCGTTGCAGGGATTCGAACCGCCAACCTTCTGATCAGCAAGTCCTAAGCTCTGTGGTTTAGACCACAGTGCCACCCACGTCCCTTTAACCCTCTTTTAGTGCCATCCAAATTGCTGGCAATCTCTACGTCTTCTGGGGGCTAATTCTGTAGTTTAGCAGTGGAAGAGCACTTAACTCTGAGCTGCTAGTACCAAACGCCTCCACACCAAAGCCACATGCCAATCTGCTTGCCATGACTTTACCTTGCCCGGCTTCAGCTTCACCCAGAGCTCATTCTCTGGTCTCCTTAGCTCAGCGGTGAGAGTGCGGTGTGCGCTGTACCAGCGGTGCACAGTGTCGTAAGGCACCGTGTTAATGACGGCTCGGTCGTAGTTGTTGTACCTAAAATAAAGCAGCAGAAGGGAACATCCACAGTGCACTACTTAAGGATTGCAATCCCCACATGGGAACCAGTAAGTCTCTAAGGATCCGCATGGGCAGAGGCATGACTGCTAGAAGTGATATCTATTTATCAGTGGGAGCAAACGCTTTGTGTATATCAGAGGAAGGGAGTCTGTTGTTAAGGCTTCAGTTTCCACCAGCCAGTAAGGCTAATGGTCATGAATGATGGGAACTGTAGTATAGGCACATCTGTGAAGCCAAAAGTTCCCTATACCTGTGCACACATAAATTGGACTTGGGTTTTCTGCAGAAATTACGGGGAAGGACAGGAATGGTGTAAGGTGTGCACAGCCAGTAAATTTGCCCAAATGGTGCATCTTTTAGTAGCTTCACTCCTGTGATTTTTTTTAAAAAGCAAACGTTAATTTTTGGGGGGTCATTCAGTAGGAACTTGTCAGGGAGCGGGGGCGGAAGGTAATTTTGCAGCACAACTTGATTTTCCTTCTTGACCAGCCAGATTCCGTAATAAAGTGGTAACTATTTTATCAGCACAAGATCCACAATGAAGCTTCGCCTGGGCTCTGGTACAGGACTATTTGCTGGGATGGCTAGAGGAACATACAAGGACTGTAGATATATCTAGGATCACATCCCTGCTCAGCTCTAGCTGAACTCTGACTGCTTAGGCCTCATCTGCACTATACATTTAAAGCAGTATTGTGTCACTTTAAAACAGTCACTGCTTCCTCCAAAGAATCCTGGGAACTGTAGTTTGGTAAGTGTGCTGAGTTGTTAGGAGAACAACTATTCCCTTCACAGAACTACAATTCCCAGTGTTTCCCAGGAAGAGGTACTGTGGTTAAATCACTTGGGTATCTCTTCTGGTGGTGGAACATGCAATTCGACCATGTTTGCATGAACACAAACTGCTCCAACTGATGTTGTCACAACCCTAGAATCCAGCAGCACCCAGCATACCAAGTAAGAGGTTGCAGAGTCACCCCCTAAGGAGCCAGAATGGGTTCTTGACACAAAACCTGATGCTGGAGACCAGGGGGCGCTGCTAAACTGGAGACTGGTGGGCAAGAGCCCCCTGGACCAGATTCCTCAACGCCAGATCCAGGACCCTCACAGGTGCTTTCCCTGGGCCTGAGAAGAACTGCCTGTCCACAGGCCCAAGTGTAGCCCCTTTAAGGACTGTAGCTATCACAAAGGAGGTGGAGCCTAGGACTGGCGACAGAGGCTCAAATGGCCTCAGTCCACCTCTAGCTTTGTTCACTTGGAGTGCTCTGTGGTGCTGCAAAGACCAGGGCAGACACTGGCCATCTCACCTGATCAAGTAGATCTCATTGTTCCAGGGGTAGACATTCAAGACAGGCCCAACCCCAATCATGTGGTTGTGGCAGCCCCCCACATTCTCGATATATTCGTGCTTCAGTGGCACCTTGGTGAGGAGCTCAAAGTCATCCGGGGCTTGCTGGAGCACCTGCTCTGCTGCGTAGAAGCCATCCACAAGTAATGTACGACCACCTGTCCCTTCGTGCCGGAGGCAGTGAAACACCTGGATGCTGTGGAGGGCAAGGAAGGAGCCGGTCACTTGGTGGCAATAAGTACATTCAGATGTGTGGGGGGGGGGTATCCTGTTAATGCTCCTGTATTGTTCCTTTCACAATGCATTACCTGTTGCATTATGGAACTTTGGCTTTTTGACCAATATACTGTACCAGCTAAATGTTGTGCTAAATGTCACTGGGTGTGGTGTGACCCAACTATGGACATTATTGTAGAAAATCACTCTTTCTGCATGTATACTTCCATTTCCCCATGGAAACCACAGGAAAGAAATGTAGGCTGGCATTATCACCCCAAATTTTGCCAATTACTCCCACGATCTTCTGGGTTAATGCAGTTGCATGCTGATTTTGTTCTGGAAGTAATTAACATGGAAATGAGCACCAAACTTCCACTATGTTTCACTTGATTTCTAGAAATGGCCTTTATGTCATGCAAAAGTTCAAATATAATGTGGAAATTAACAGGGAAACTGAATGTAGCCTGGAAAGTGATTCTGCTGTGGCTCTAAGAGTGGCCCTGACAGGTCAGATCAACAAACTCTCTTGTGGTCCTTTGCAGTGGCCTTGTTCTAAACCAGGTGTGGGACACTAGAGCTGGCCAACAGTCAGAATTCTTATCTCTCTCCTTGTCCCCAATAGATGAGCAGAGCCGGCCACCTGCCAATCACCCCAATGTCAGGTTTCACATTCTTGTCTGTGTGGTTTGAAACCAAAGAGTGCAGGTGAAAAGCAAAGCCCTGTGCTCTGTTAAGCATGGAAAATGAGCTGCGTGTTTGTGCTTCAAAGCCCCATGCACAGGACTTTTCAGGCACCACTGATCAGCTGACTGGCAGTGCCTACAACCTCTCTTTTGGCTCAGCCATGTCATATGTGGTATTAGGTGTAGAGCAGGTAGGTAAGGCTTGGTGGGCCAAATGGGGAGGCCTAACAGGCATAACTAGGTCTGTGGGCCAGGGGTTCCCCACTGATGTTTTTGACATTACTCTTGTCTTTACCGCTTTGGCTCCTGGCTCATTAAAAGAAGTCTAGTCCCTGGGAGGAAATTAGTAGAAAGCACAGCATCCATTCCCTGATACAGAAGGTATCTGAAGTAGAACAGCACCTGGTTCCTCCTTGCTTTGGGCTCCTGGAACATCAGACTTCAGGTTGCTGTCAAAAGGTTATTGAATCTGCATTTCTGGATGCAAACCACTGAATGCCTCCTATATGCACCTGGTTCAGTCACCTGGATTTAGTTAGGAAATAAGGCTAAAACTTCCACTGCTGCATCTAGTTTGGAATTGGCCTAAACAATATAAGCCTGCAATGGACCTGGACCTAAGCCTTCTGTATATAAAACACAGACTATGCCAGCAACCTACAGCTCCTGTCCACTTGTCTATTTATGTAGAGAAATGTGTTTAAACCCTCTCCCTCTCTATTGCTTCTGTTAGTTATTAGAAGGGGCAACACTAATATTGCAAGGTCTCTGAAGTTCAGCTGGCTTCTGAGATTCTACAAAGCATTTTTGTTTCCCTTTACTATCTGGAGGTCTAGAAACCTGCTTCTTGCATTTTGATCATAATATATTACATATAGTGGTGAATATAATAGTGCAACCTCAGGCTTTTTCAACTTCTTTTCTTTTCCCCTCAGAGAGATTTTAAACTTTGCAGTCTCTGTGCTGGATACGTTCTCCCAAAATCTTGTCCAACGTCAATGTTTTCAGGACCTGTTCAGAGCACTATTCAAGCAGGCGCAGGCTCTTTGGAATTGCCACAGGTTAAAGGGACTTAAATTCCTCTGTACTAGAGCTCTCTGCAATGTGGCTATATTAGGGTGATGGCCAGGTTTTGAAATTCACGTAACTGGGTAATAAAAACATCAAACTGCTGTCACTGGTAATAAATGCAGGACTGCTTAGTTTCCTGTTGGTTTTCTGAAGCACTCTGAGAAGCTGGAAGAGATGATCACAGCTGGGGAGTCCCTTAATGCCCCATGTTGTTGCATTCTTCACTGTAAAGGTAAAGGGACCCCTGACCATTAGGTTCAGTCGTGGTTGACTCTGGGGTTGCGGCGCTCATCTTGCTTTATTGGCCGAGGGAGCCGGCATACAGCTTCCGGGTCATGTGGCCAGTATGACTAAGCCACTTCTGGCGAACCAGAGCAGTGCACGGAAACTCCGTTTACCTTCCCACCGGAGCGGTACCTATTTATCTACTTGCACTTTGACGTGCCTTCGAACTGCTAGGTTGGCAGGAGCAGGGACCGAGCAACGGGAGCTCACCCCGTCGCGGGGATTTGAACCGCCGACCTTCTGATCGGCAAGTCCTAGGCTCTGTGGTTTAACCCACAGCGCCACCCACGTCCCTCCATTCTTCATTATTTCAAAAATAATCAGGAAGCAGGTGGTGTGAAGGACCTTTAGAGAACCACTGCCACAGAGTTGACACTACTGACCTAGATGGGAAAGTAGTCTGATCTGATAGGAAGCTGCCTTATACCAAGGCAGATCATTGGTTCATATAACTCAGTACTATCAACACTGACTGGCAGCAGCTCTTTTAGGGTTTCAAACAGGGTTCTCCCCCACCCTTACCTAGAGACGTCAGGAGTTGAACCAGGGACCTTCCTCGTGCAAAGCAGATTCTCTACCACTAAGCTATGGCTCTGATTTAAAAACAGCTTCCTATGATTCTTAATAGGCTGGCTCCTAATTGCAGGTGCAGCCACTGTTAATGAGCTCAGGGGATCCTGCCCTACTGACAATGACTGAAGTCATAGCAGACTCCAAAAGTGAATGCCCCACAAACTCTACAGCATTTCTTGAGGTAAAGTGAACCTGACTACTCTGGAAGGGGGGTTCCCTGAACCCTGTAAGATGGGGTAGGAATGGGGTAGTTATTGGAAGATTTAGCACAGGTTAAAAAAAGTGTTTCACGCAGCTCAGAGTCAAACTATAGAACTCTCTCTCCCAGGTGGCAGTGATGGAGGGCTTTAAAAGAAGATTAGGGAAATTCATAGAGGAGAAGGCTATCAATGGCTTCTAGCTCCACAGTCAGAGGCAGCAATACCAGCTGTTGGAAACCACAGGAGGGGAGAGTTGCCCTTGTGCTCACGCTCTGTTCCCTGGCATACCACAGGCATCTGGTTGGCCACTGTGGGGAAAAGGATGCTGGACTAGATGTGCCATGTAAATTTGTTAAACAATTCAGGCCTCAGGATAACTTAAAATACATCTGCATTACTTACTTAATCACCTAGACAACGCTTGGACGGAAGCCCAATGTAGGCCGTTCTAAAGACGTAACCAGGATAGATGTGGTTAAACCTGATCATGACAAAAAGGAGCAGTGCATTTGTGACTCGTGTCAGTCCCTGCCTCTTAGGCCATTGGAACATACCCACAGGGTTCCTGGAAATAAGTGGTATCTGTGTGACGGTCCAAAGCCAGCTTGGTGTAGGCTGTGTCTCCCCGGGAGAAGTCAGAGGTGAAGTGCCACATCCTGCCGTAGATAGTCTCCCTGGAAAAGGAGAGAGAGAGAAGCACACACATAAAGGCCTCTGTGTTGGCACCAACCACTAAAGCCACGGCAGGTGGGCTTGATGACAACTCATGCGAATGGGCAGGTGAAGCAACACCTGTGCAAACCAATTCTATTTTTGCTTGCTCAGACGTAATTTCCGCAGACTTGGAAGCGTGCATGGAGTTAGATCTTTCGACGAAGGGGCAACATATAAATATAATAAATAAATAAATTACAAGAACAGGTGAGTTCCTGAAAATACACATCTTGGGTATCAAAGTCCGGAGGAAAGAGGAGTGTCTTCAGCATAAGGCAGAAACAATATCTTGAAGGTTCCAGACACATCTCTGTGAGGAGGAATTTCTACAACTTAAAAGGCTGTCAAAGAGAATGCCCTTTCCTGGGCCACTGAACTTCTGAGTGTGATGGAACTGCCAAGAGGGTCTCCCTCTGCTTATCTAAACACCCGCAATCAGCTATTCCTACTTCAGCTATTTCTCTCTGAACCCAGTCCTGAATTTCCTTCTGGGGTTAAGGATAGCAAGTCCGAATGTTGTCTGCACATGCCAATCTTTCAGGAGTAACAATATTTACTACAGCGAGAACGAATCTGGGTGGATTTGAGAAGATGAAAAGAGAATCCAGCCTTAAGAACAAGCCACGCATGGGAGGGGTTGAAAGGAACAATTATCAGACACAGCGGCAAGACAGACTAGAAGCTCCCAGGCCAAAGAGGCTGCTCAGGCCACTTCCAGGCTGGAGAGAAAGGGAGCTGGCAGGCAGGCAGCTGGTATAAATCCCTTCTTTCCTAATCCCCCAGGGCAATCCAGGGTCAACCTGACAACTGCAGTTTAAATTGGAAGGGGCGGAGAAGAGAAACATTCCTTGTACTTTCCTCTGACGTCCCAAGCACTGCTTTGGTCTTCGGGTCTCCAGGGGCTGAGGCTGTTTCTCCTAACCTTTCCAGGGAAAACAGGAAGCAGTGATTGGCGTGAACACTAAAATGTTCCCAGCCTGCCAAAAGAACTTGCTCCTTGTTCTATGCTCAGCTCCGGCAGCTCTTGAACAAATGCTAAAGGAAAAGATGGTACTCTTCCCCCCACCTTCTTTATTGCGAGCAGGAAGAAAAATAAACCCCAGTTCTGTGCAGCAACACAATAATCCTCAATAGACATCAGCATGGAGCACATTATCTAGGGCATGAGAAGAAATGCCACAACCACCAGGGCCCAGATGCAACTGATGCAGGTAGACAAGGACTAAACAAACCTGGAGCACTCCAGATTTTTTTGACTGCAACTCCCATCAGCCTTATCTAGCACAGGAGCTGATGGGCATTTCAGTCTAAAACACCTAGAGGGCACCAGGCAGCTGAAGACTGGATTAAACCATATATCAGTGGTAGAACACACATTTTGCATTTAGAAGGTGCTTTGCAAGATAATAAATAAAATGTGCTTTTTAAAAAGTACCCTTCGTTGCATATATAAAGTGCTTTGCAACTCTCATCCTGCCTAAATTCTTTTTAACACAGGGGTGGAGAAGATGCAGCACTTCATATGTCTCCGGACTAAAATAATCCATAGCCACTGGCTGGGTCTGATGAGAGCTGGAGTCCAACAACATCTGCAGGGTCAGAGGTCAATGCTTCCGAGTCTCTTTCCAGCCCTATGAGCATCAGCAGGAGATGCTGAATGCAAAGGCTGCAGACTCCGGAATGCTACACTCCTTTCTCAGCTCAGTCAGAGGAGAAGCACAGCAGTGTTGTGACCCAACCCAGGCAAGCCCCCAACATATTTCCACTTACCAAAACACCCACACTTACCTGATCAAGCTGATCCTCTCTGCTAAGATCTCGGTGTCTTCTTTGGTTGGGGGGACGTTTTCCACAAATGCGATCCCGTAGAGCAAGAAGTTCTGCAAGAACTCTCTCAGGCCCTCGTTGGTCTCGAGGAAGCTCTGGCAGTCCACTGAGGGCACTTGGGCTTCCTGGTAGATCTGAGCATTCCAGAGAATGCGTGGCTGCATGACCTGCTGCTTCTGCCCTTCGTAGCTGTTCTTCAGGAGCCATTCCAACCCGTACCTCGTCACGTGGCCATCTGGCCCTGGGAAACAGACAGGATTAGTGCAAACATTTTTCAAAATGCTAAAGGCAGATCTGGGTAACTGATAAGCCTTTTATGATCAGAGAAAAAGAGAGAGAAACACATAGAGAGTCCACAGTCTGTTTCTTCCAGCAGCCTTTTGTGCAACCCTTTGATCTTCTATGTAGCGTCAATGCAACCCAGGGCTAGGGAAAGCTGTTGTTGGGATTTCAGATGTTGTTGGACTCCAACTTCCATCAGCCCCTGACAGTACAACCAATGATCAGGGGTGATGGAAGCTGGACTCTAGACAACAGAAAAAGCCACAGGCTTCCCAGTCCTGATCAAACCTAAAGGCTCACCTTCTTCTATGTGAAGAAGTCCTGCATTAACTCTGCAATATTTTGCTGGGTTGGTTCTACGCCTAGATTTATGCAACTGGAATTTGGTTGCATACTGAGGTTATTTTGAGTGCACATTGGGATTTTCTGGGGCTTATGTTTGTTTTGCCTTTACTACATTTAGCTGCCTTGAGCTTCTTTGCAGAATAAGGTAGAACATGAGTTTTAAAAATAAAACAAAACTGAATGAAATACTAAAAGAGTGGTTTGATTTGATAAGGTTTAGCATATGGCTGAAATGACCAAACTTGCTGAACTTGTTGTTCTGTATATTTATAATGAAAATATTCAAGTACAAGTAAATAAGCAGTAACAACTTCACTTTCATCTAAAACCAGAGCCAGCCAGAGGGCAGTTGTTTCTCATGCCCTCAGTTTACAGAAGGACTTCTTCTCAAAACAACACTTAATCAAGGGAGAAGCTTGCATGCTTCCCATAGGCATTTGGTTGGGCCCTGTGAGAACAGAATGCTGGACGAGTTGGGCTTTTGGCTTAACACAGCAGGACTCTTATCAGCAGGAAAACACATATAACAATCACAGGGTCTCTTCTAAGGCTGTTCTCTAAGAATTAAACCTCTGTATTATGCTTTCCCTAAGTAAGAAATTACTTTTTAGTTATTAGGTACTAGCTAAATATTAAATAGAAGTAGACTAGAGGATGTATTGATGTTCTGTTGAAGTTTCCAAATATCAATTTCCTGTAACCAAGCAGCTAACAGCACTTTATGTCGTTAAAAACAAGGAGGTGATTAATCTTTCTAAAAACAGGCGCAAATCATACCTGGAACAACAGAATGCCCAAGGAGCTATAGGTTTCATGCATGGGCAGAATCATCAAAAGCAGGAAATAATGTTGGCTATTTTAAGACCCTTTGCCATTTTAGGAATGAAAATTAATAGTCACAGGAGGAGAGACAAGGAAGTATAAAGGTGGGGCTCAAATTCTGTGCTGCTGTGATTTGGACTGTGTGTGGTGCTTCATCAATGGAGATTTGTTTTCTTACACTGCTTCTGAGTTTGTAAGTCTAGAAGCTTTTGCTGTGAAAGGGTGTGATTGGTTTACTTGTTTTTGTTTATTTATTTTGCTATTAAATAAAAATCCTTATTGGACATTTGTCTGCAGTGATGTGGTATGTGACATTTGCTGAAGCTCGAAAGCCTATGTCTTGGGAAAAATTGCTGAGTTCTCAGCAACCTTTGACCCCAGCAGTCTCCCATGAATGCTGGTTACTCATTGACTAGAAGGAGTCTTTAAATGGTTTTGGCTGTTATTTTGTACTAAGAATTGTTAGGAGACAGAATAAGAATATTGCTCAGTCAGTTCAGAAAGACAGCTCAGTGAAGTAAGCCTGAAGTCCAAATTAATAGGAGTTCAGAAGTGTCCAGTACACACAGTATACAGAACAGTAAAAAGCAATAAAAGCAACTGAATAAATATAGGGGTATAAAATTCAAGTCCACAGGAGAGGGTCTATTTTTAGGATCTATTTATATCTATTTGTATTATTTAATAGCAAATTTTGATTAAACCTACTTTTGACAATTAAGCTTGCTTTTTAATCCAAGAACACGTGAAACAGTATGAGGGTGTGAGAATGTGTGAAGTTGCAATTGGATAGGTGTATAACGAGAATGGAAACTTGATGACTATACAAGGCAACATCTAAATGGATTCCTATGAGAAGGCGATACCAACAATTAAACTCAATAATTGATCAATATTTAAGATGACATCTAAACGGATTCAAAGAAGAAGGCATAATAATTATTAAGTGTGCACATAGTTAACACTGCCTGTCTGGATGCTCTTAAGTATTTGTTTAAATGTCTTAGAGAATTTTTATGGTTTTGAGTATGGAATCAGCTGTTTGCTGAAGTGATGTTGCTTATTTGGTTTAGCTATTTCCCATGGTTAAAGTACAAAAGGTATTTACAGGACACTATTACTGAGTTTTGAAGAATAATAACTGAGAAAAATAGAAAATGTAATTAAGTCTCTCAAAAATATTAATTACTGTAATCCAAAATCATAGTTGCATATGATTTGAGAATACTTCTTCATTAATTCCTGATTCCTGCCAGGAATATCCTTTCTGTTTTTGCTTCTTTGCCAATTTTGTAGACCTGCCTCAGCAAAAGGGCAACAAGAGCAACAAGGAAAACAACCATTTATGTTTTATGCTATGTCTTATTTACTTCCTATTAGTCTTGTGGCCGTAACAGAACCATATTTGAACTTATTTTATTATGACTTACTTTTAAATCTTTAAGAAACCCTATGGACTCCTTCTGTGTTGGATTTTTTTTTTTATATTAAAAAAATTACTTTGTAGGAATCCTTAAGAAGCAAATTCTTGGTATCAGGATCGCTAGCAAAGTCATGAAGATGGGCGTGAACCCATCTTTTACAGGTTCCTTTTCTTTAGATGTTCAAAGAACTTCAAGTTTCCTCTTCTTTTACCACAAATAAACGGGAAAAGCCTCTTGGTTTCTTCTTTACTCAACTTGTGCTCTTGAGAAATCCTTCTCTGCATCCTCCCCTGCTCCCTCCTCGTCTAAACCCCAGAAAACAACGCTCCATGGACTCACAGGTAAGAAAGAGTGTAGTTTCATCCACACGGACGCTCTTTGGCCTAATGCACAGATCCACACTGGCTGTGTCCAAGCTGCGCTGGTTGGTCTTGGTATTGTAGCAGGAAGCCGAGCGGCAGTGATCACGTAGCCAGACGTAGTCAAAGCGCATGAGGACATCCCCATATTTCAGCTCTAGGAAAGACACATGCACACACCACTTGGCTAAATGCAAGAAACAGTAAGGAGGATTTTCTTCCAAATGAAATCCCATTCTTTGCCAGAAACTTTTAATAGCAGCTAATTTAGGTCACACGCATCCCACACATTTAAAGCAACCCCAAAGAATCCTAGGACCATGACTATTAAAGTGGCGTGAATGTGCTTCAAATGTACAATATGGATGCGACCTTCTAATAACGAACACATTCTGCAAGCGTGCATGGCAACACAGCCAAGACGGCACCAACTGACTCGCAAGAAGTCAGCTTCAAGCAAGCTTGGGGGAATTCCGAGGTTTACAAAAGTACAAAAAACCCTGGGGGGAGGGAGACCCTAAAGAAAAAGAGGACTCACACAGCTCAATGAAGGCTGGGTTTGCTCTACAGGCATGGAATGCTGATTGACTAACTGCATGGAGGGGAAAACTGAATGTCCTAAGAAAGCAGCACGGCTGGCTGGCATCTTGAATGGAAGCGCTTTTGCCCAGGAAGCCACTCACATGCTCTGACATTTATTCTTCCCAGCCCTTCAAAGCCCCTCACCCCCAGGCTCCTTACCCAAGTGATCATCGTTTAATTGCCAGGCACACTTCAGCGACTCTGGGGCTGTGTGATGCCAACGGGTCAGACTTGGAAGGGTTTTCCTGAAGTTGAGCAGCCATGGCACCCGGCACCTGGGACTTTTCTTCAGTAGCCGCTGGGAGCTAGAGAGCAGGTGAATCAGCTGACGACCCCACATCCTGGGAAAGGGAGACCAAACAGGGAGAGACCCTCACTCACGTGCCATTGTTAGAAAGAGTTTTGAAACCACACTGCAATCCATGCTTGATGCTCTGCATGCAAGGAGCTGTGTGTGTGACGATAGAAGACGAGAAAGACACTATGGGTGAAACCCTAGATTACAGCTGCGCCACCTGATATGCAGCTGGTCTCTTGGGGGGGAAACCTGCAGCATCCTCAGCCAAGATGCTGATTTGGGGGGTCGCTGCTGGGTTTTGTCCTTTTCATATGAACAGGTAAGCAGGGCTGTTGTGCAACAGAATTCCATGAAGCTGAAAATACCTTACCTCCCTCCCAACCAACACTGTGTGGGGTTTATCCGCATTCACCTGGAGAGGAACCTTTAGAACAATCAAGAGTTATTTGCAATGAAGAGATAAGGCCAAGGCCATGTTGTGGGTGATTGATCACACCCACATCTCAGACACTTGCTAAATCCGACTGCAATTGGGAGACTGCTGTTCTGGGTGCTAATGGGACTTGAGTGTGTCAGCTGCTAGGTTGTGTGATGACAGCAGGAAAGAGAATTAGGCCAGTAACTCTTGGGTCTTTTGCTGGCAACAGTCACGTAAATGGCCTGCTGTAATCAATCAGTCCTCTGCACCTGGCAATTATATGATAGGAACCATGGTGTGGCACAGCAGCACACGTCCTGCTAACTTAATCTGCTGGGAGACATGATTGAGTAGAGATTGGCTGCAAATAAGCACCTGCTGAAGTGGATTTAGGAACATACAGGGTTGTCAGATTATCAAGTCAGAGTACTTGTTCATATAGTTCAGTATTGCCTATTCTGACTGGCAGAGCTGTACAGGATCTCAGTGAGAGGGGAACAGATTATAGCCCAGTGGTTAAACACATGCTTTTCATACAGAAGGTGTCAATCTCCATCATCTCCAAGTAAGGCGGGGAAAGATTCCTGTCTGAAACCCTTGAGAGCTACTGCCAGTCAGTACAGACAACACTGAGTTAGGTGGATCAATAGTCTAGCTTGGGGTAAAGCAGCTTCCCAAGTTCTCATATGTGGTGTCCCTACCTGCAAGAGCACCCCCACTCTTCCCAAATCCTAGTGACAACCAAGCAGGGATTTATCAATGCCAGCAGCATCCTTACTTGACTACTGGTTTAGGTCACACAACAGAGAGGTCAAGTAGGTATTCTAATCTTTATGGAGATATTTCACAAAGTTATGCAACTGCCTTTATATCTCAGCTCAAGGCAAAAAACAGAACTGGTATGGCAGTGATGGAAAGAAAACACAAGAGGAGGAGGGAAGGAGGGCTGCAGAAAGTTGCTCATAACTGTAGAAAAACTCCAAAAGCAGGACCCAGAGCACTAATTCAACCATTCTCACAGCAATTGTTTTGTGACCGTGCTAGCATGAGATGTAAGGTTCAGCAGGGTCTAAACATTCATTTCATCCAAGGCTGGTTCAAGACATTTTGGCACTTGAGATGAACACAAAGATCTACACTGGGAACAAGGGGGGGCTGCAGTCGCAGCAACAGTGAGCAATGCATTCATTGCAGGTTGGATCCGCTGCCCCTGTGGATTCTGCTGTCTGAGGTGGTCACCTCATCTTGCCTCATGGGTGGGCCAACCCTCCTTTCATCTACTGAGAACTTCAATCCTAGGTACATTTAATGGCCAGCTGCAATTCCCAGCATTTTAATCTTATCCGTATTATAATTTCGTTGTTGTTTATTAAATTTCTATACCGCCCTTCATCTGAGGATCACGGGGCAGTTTACAATATGCATTGTTGGCACAGCACCACTAGAACAATAGAACCAGGTTAAACAGACCAAAACAGCCAACAGGGTTCAATTCCCAGCATCTCTAGGTATGGCTGAGAAAAATTCCCTGCCTGAAACCCTGAGATCCACACTGCAAGTCAGCTAGATGAACCAATGTATAGTAGATGAACTCAGTATAGTATAAGGAAGCTCCCTATGTTCATAGTGTAACAGGCAGCTCAGTGGTAGATGCATCATTTGCATTTTACATTCAAGCCCTGATATCCCCAGACAGGTTTCCTGCCTGAAACCCTGGAGAGCAGCTGCCAGTTAGTGCAGACAAAACCAAGCTAGACAGACCTAGGGTTCAACTGTATACAAGTCAGTTTCCTATTACAGCTTTTTAAAGAGAGTTGACAAAGATGATACCGTGAAGCAATTCACATGAAGAACATAACATAGACATCAGAGTTCACATTTATCATCAACAGATAAGTTAGCAAGAATGATTCTTAATAGCTGCAGCTGACCCTTTGAGACCCTCACATTATCGATGAGTGGTTACCTGCTAGACTGTGGCTATGATGCTGCTCTCAAAGCATAAAGCAGGGGACATAATATACTTTTATCAGACTGATTTCGCTGCTACAAGAAGTTGCAAACTTTCGAGTTTCAGGTGAATTGCCTGTTGGCAGCAAAGACATATTTTTCAACCACCTGCTTTCTATTGCCGACGTTCTGCACCTTTTTTTGTTTTGTTTAACCAAGAGCGCTGTGAAATGCAAAAGCTTGCATTTTTTCCCAATGCCAACTTAAGTTTGTCTGATAAAAAAGGCCCTTTAATTAAAGTCAGCAAGAAAAACCACTTTTGCTATGTTCTCCTAATGCATTTGCTCCCAAAACTCTTTCCAAAGGGAGAAGAAACTAATTCACACTGATAAAATGCAAACATAAAACACAGAGAAAAATATGATCCTTGTGTTAAATCAAGAGAGGAACAACCAACAGACCACTCAGTACCATCAACTGCAGAATTAGCTCTTAGATCCCTGCTTTTGATTCCTAGAAAGCAGCTCAAGAGAGAAAAACAAACCTGAAGAGTGGAATTGCTCATTTTGACATGAAGTTTCTCTAAGCATCAATGAGAAATTTAAATGACTGTAATTCCAAGAGCCTAACTGGCATGAATGCGTATGCAGAAACTGAACAGAAAGTTGTTACAAACCTATGCTTGCTCCAACAAACCTGCCAACAAGACTCTCCTGGGTTGCCAAGAGCCTGGAGTTAAAAGCTGTTATCTCCTTCCCCACACACAGTCTCTGTCACCTTTCCCGTTCCAGTATCAAAGGTTGCCAGAGACAGACTGAATATATTTCACAGCTAAAGGGCTCACAGCCCTTGATCTAATCAGTCCAGGCGATTCTGTATATTCAATTCCATGCATGAGAGGCTGGTTACGAGGGCAAGATGGGGCAGAGCCCAACCATTATTTTTACTCCTGCACTGCTTAAATGCCCACAGTATCTTTGCAAGGGAGGAAAATGGGGAGGAAAGCAGAACTAAATGACCACACGTCTGGCGACCCCTTGGCTACCCCCACCAGGTCCAGTGATTTCCAGCTGGCACTGATCCCAGGTGCTCGTGGCTCACATCCAGAGATTTTGCATGCACCTTTAACCTTTACAATAATTCAACATGGTTAAGGAGCCAAAGGCTGGCAGACACACAGAGATCAACGATGGAAATTTGCATCAGCCACCAATCATGGCAATTTGCGTACAATGTACAATCATATACACAACTAAGCAAATAAAATTGCCAAATTAAATTTAGAATTAGAAATCAAGGGGAACAACTATGGCTCTTACAATGACCAGTTGGTAACAGAAACAGTTCAGAGGTAAATTTTCTGTTATCCTCAACATCCCTGAACACTTCCTTGCTTTTTAGGGAAAGGCTGAGCAATTACTTTGTCGTCAAGCAAAGTTTACCTCTGAGCTTCAGCTGAACATAAGCAGGATGAAATCCGCAGCTCATTCCAACCAAGTGCAGCTGCAGCCCGTGGGAAGCTGCTGAGCAACAGAACAGCTTCCCTGTGATGATCTAAGGAGGGGGAAACAGTCCTTCAGCTACCAGTATATCCCCTCCCTGAAGTTGGTCAGAGGTCAAGGCAGCTTACTGGTGCTTTTTTAAAAAAAAAAATTGAAAAAGCAAAGCAAGCAAAGCAAAGAGCTAAGTGCTTTCCAAGGGAAAAAAATGAAATAAAATAAAAGGAAGGCCATGGTGACTTCAGGTCTCCAGAGAGGCTTTTTGCTCTGTTTGCACAGAGGATGCTGTGACTACAAAAAATAGAGATACAGCATGATAGGTTCCAAGAGTTCCACATATAAACAAAAACACATATACTCAAACACTTGGAACCAACTATCCTTGCACAAGCAACCTGAGGCTTCTGGAGCTTGCTTACCAAAAGATTTACACCCCTAACCAAGGCAGAAAGCTTGAAAGCTCCTTTCCAAACTGGTTTCCCCATCTCTCTGCCAATATGTCCTCGCAAGGCTATCTGCAGAGGCAAATTTAGGGTAGTATGGCTGGTTCAGTTAAACTGGCTGCAGACCATCAAGGGTGCTATAACTATGATGCAGAATGGAGGGGGGGGTATTTGTCAAATTTTGGCATCCCACATAGGATCTGCTGAAATTTGAGACCCCTAGGTTTGTCACTGAAATCCAAGTTCCTGCACACTCTTGCAAGAGCACCCTAGACCCGGCGCATAGAGAGGGCCTTGCTTCTCCAGCAAGGCAAAACGAAGAAACAAAACAAATCCTGCACAAAAAGAGATTTGAAGCTCTCAGATTTTCTTGCACTTAAAATGTGAAATTTCAACTGCACATGGTTAAAATTGCACAAGTTAAATGTGCATAAGATGCAATCATACTGTATAACAACTGGGCTGCTGCAAAACTACAACAACACTGCAGTATATACTAACATAGATGCATGCACCCACCTCCAACTCCAAAGGCGCTTTGTAGGTGAGGGTTCCACTCAGCTCACATTTCATACCTTCCTCTGAGATACTACAGGGTAGCCCAAAAGTAGGTATACTTTTCAGAAAAACGAATGATTTTTTTTCTTTACTGATATTGTGAATGATGAGAACAAAGAAAATAGATTCCAAAGCAGTACCTGTACACTTACTTTTGGTTCATCCTGTATCAGATGTTAAGGTAGGTGGAAGGGGAACCTTTATCCACAGAGCAAGACTGGCCCTCCCTTGAGGGCGTCTAGTGCTGGGTAGGTTCAGAAGCAAAAGCAGGCACAGCAACAGAATTGACTTCTTGTGTGGCTGGTACGTTCCAGCCACACGTTCGAGGTTTCTACACCGCTCACATCTCTTCAACCTTTATCCAACTGAGCAAGTTTCAGTCAGGGAAAAGAGTGCAGAGTAGGGCTGGTAAGGGGTGTGGCCTGAGGCGAATCTTAAGGGCCAGATCAAGAGGTTTGGAGGGCCACACCCATGTGAGGGGCTTAAGCAAGCCAGTGCCTTCCCCATTAATGTAATCCTTAAACTGACCCTCAACATTTCACGGATCCTGGAGACCACAACTTTCCTTTTTAGTGCAGCTTTTGAGCCACAAGTGGTTGCTCATTTTCCAAAGTGGTTTTCACTGCTATGGTTAAATTATTTTGGTGGCGCGCTCTCTCTCTCTCTCTCTCTCTCTCTTGTATTTCAACATTTAATGGCTGCCTTTCTGTGTTTATTAGTCTTCAAACTGTTTTTTAAGTTGTTAGGTTAGGCATAGGTATCAAAATGAATAAACAAGTAAAACCTATGGGTGCTTTTACTAGAGAACTGAAGAGCCAAACTTATTACGTTTGCAAGCATAGGTGACACCATCCAGTTACTGTTGAATTGCTGTTCCATCATGAAGGGTTCAGATGTTTGGATGGCTGACAGCACACAACTAGTGATGTGGCTTTGCCCCCCCCCCCCCAAAAAAATCAATTGGAAAATTGCCGGGGAACCGCCTATGTAAATCAGGCTAATTTGCATGGACTGATTTACATATTTTTTTGGTTCGTATCAGAAAATTTTCCGATGCCATCAACAAGCAGTCAAATTCACCATGTTTATTTTAACTGTATTTAGTAAGCAAAGATTTCAAAAAGTACTCTGCGCCAGTCTTTTGCCGGGATGCACCAAAAGCATTTGACCTCAAATATCTGAAGGGTAAATTGAAAGCTTACTTAATGCAGTTTAAATGTTACATTTTGCAGTATGTTTTAGTGGAATGTTTGTGAAAATGAAACGACAATAGCAAGGGTTTCCTTTACATTGTTTAAAAACTACCAAAGTACTGAAAGCCGTTGACACACTAATAAGCTTTAGCAACCCAAAGAACTGTGTGTGATATGCTGACTCGCAAATTTGCTAGGGATAATCACCTGAAAAACATTAATTACAGCTCTGGAGCTGCCAATTTTGCCTAATATTATCCATTGTTACTAATGAACTTATGAAACACAATTTTCGGCGGGGGGGAAAGCACTGGAATTTTCCTGCCTCAAAACACTGACTGCCATGATGGTTCAGGTTGATGAGAGTTGGGAGTCCAATAACATCAGCAAGATTAGAGATTCTTCACTCCTGATTACACATATACAAAATTTAAAAACCCAGCCATGGACTGATGGCAAAAGAAAACCATGCCAAGAAGATTAACATGTCATCATGTATTACAAGAAGTTTATTTAGTACCAGCAATGTGTTAAATACTTCATGGAACACAGAAGTTATCTAGCAATGCCTAGAGGATTTAGGAATATAGGAAACTGTCTTATACTCCGACCATTTGTCCATCTAGCTCAATATTCTCTACCCTGACTGGAAGAGGGTTTCAGACAGAAGGGGCTCCCAAACTCACCTGGAAATGCCAGGGTTTGAACCTGGGACCTTCTGCCTAACTTGTGGATGTATGATCAAGGTTTGTCAAAGTGTAATCAGGATGGGGAGTCCTCTTATAGCAATGGAGGGGCAGGTAAACTATGATGAGGTGGTTCAGCCACAAGCTTTCACAACCTGGGACCTTCCAGGTGTTTTGGACTACAGTTCTCACCATTCCTGACCATGGACTGGACCATGTTTGCTGGGGCCGATGGGAGTTGGATTCCAGGACATTTGGATGGCTCCAGGGTTGGGGAGGGCTGTGTACACTCTGTTCTGCTCTGCAGTTAAAGCAAGCCACAGCTAAGATGATAGAAGGGTACACTGATAACTTAGCAGATGGCAAGGCACCTGCAGAGCACAGAGAAGCTACATTAGGATCAGGCCAGTAAGTCTGGACTGACTCACAGTGACACTAAAAGCCATGTAACATTCAGCAGAGCTCAGATTTACTTCCAGGTGCTTCAGCAGTTCAAAAAAATTATGTGCCAGACAAACATAAAAAAAGCCAGGCAAGTCTTTGTTCCTGCCTGACATCCCTTCTCTGGCAACTTCAAACACACTTTCCAATTGCTTAACAGGCAACCACAATTTTGCACGGGGGTTCCTTTCCTAACCCCCACTGGCGTCGGCAGAGCAAGTGTGAGCCAGCATGATGCTTGCGTGCACAGTTGTGCGTCAATTGGGCATGCCTGAAACGGTTGCCGCCTGTAGTTTATTTTTAAACACTGTATATATACTGCTTAATTGTAATAAAACCGCAAAGCCATTTGGGGTAGCCAACATGGTACCCTTCAGAAGTTGTTGAACTCCAATTCCCATCAGTCCTACCAAGCATTGCCATTAATCAGGGATGATGGGAGTTGTAGTCCAACAACACCTGGAGGGCACCACGTTGGGTACTTCTAGCAAGAAGGCAACTTAATGTCCTTTCCAGTTCATGGGACATTAAGTTGCATTCTTGCTAGAAGCCAGATATTTTTATTTCAACAGTTACTCATCCAGATCAGGGGTGCACAACCTGTGGCATTCCAGATGTTTCTGGACTACAACTCCCATCAGCCCCAGCCAGCCTAGCCAGTGATCAGGGATGATGAGAGGTGTAGTCCAACATCTGGAGGGTCTCAGGTTGTGCATCCCTGATCTGGAGGTTCCCTATGTTGGGAAACTATGTACGTGCAGATACTCACACAGAGCCAATTAAGGTTTGGCAGACAGCCAGAAGGCAATCTGAAGGAGTAAGTCTGCCTGGAGATAACAGAGGCATTGAGACCGCTCCCTGATTGGTCAAGCTCTCTCAAGGGAGTGATACTTAATGGCCTACTAAATGGTAGTTGAGAGTTTTGGAGTTCAGTGTGTCAGTCAGTGTAGGAGTTGTGAGTCGTGTATGAGAGAGCTAGCTAAAGATCTGTGTTCTGTTCCTGTAAATAGTCCACTGTATATAATAAACACCTAACTATAAGTTCCTGGTTCCTGCTTCGTCTATCCTGTCTGCAGCCAAGTTGCCAATTGCTTCCATGGATTCTGCGTGTACTCTGCTGGGTCTGGCTAAGGTCCTGCAACTAGTCAGAAAGTTGCGAAACACCAATAGGTTTTGCCAATACCCTATCCCTGGTATGAAGAGTGGGATAATGGCTTGGAAATCAGGGAAAACAAGGAATAAATCATTCAGATGTGGCAAAGGCTACTTCAGTGATGGGAGATGCATGCTGCACACAAATGATTCTAGTCCAATTCCTGAGTTACCAGATTAAAAGGTGCTAGGAAGGAAGCCCACGAAAGACCTTTGTTCAAATCTTAAAGAGCCATAACCCAACATCTGTCATGTTCTTCTCCGCATCAGAGTTGTGCCATATGCCTTAATGCAGTAGAAAGCTAGCAGGTTGTGGTTCTTAGCACCCAGCAGTTCCTTATATGCAGATGGAAAAGAGTGGAAGGGAAAGAATAGTGTCAAATGTATTAGAGAGGAAGACATAAGAGCTGCTTGTGGAATGCTAGGCTGAAGCAAACAGGTTTTTGCAGTAGTCAAAGTGAGTACAGTGGTACCTCGGGTTAAGAACTTAATTTGTTCTGGAGGTCCATTCTTAACCTGAAACTGTTCTTAACCTGAGGCACCATTTTAGCCAATGGGGTCTCCCGCTGCCGCCACGCGATTTCTGTTCTCATCCTGAAGCAAAGCTCTTAACCCGAGGTACTATTTCTGGGTTAGCGGAGTCTGTAAACTGAAGCGTCTGTAACCTGAGGTACCACTGTATTCCGCTTGCACAAAACGTCCTAGTGAAATGCTGGTAGAAATGACATTTTGTTAGAGCCAAGGCACATGGCAGAAAGAGTTATACATATTTATTTCCATTGAAAATAAGTCAGGAGGGGAGCATGGCTACTCCGTTAAACAAATATGGACTACACAAGTCGTTAGCATACATGAGTGCAGAGGCACCTCAGCCAATCTCTTTGTGTGGCCCCTGACAATATACCGTAAACATATAGCCCACAACTTGAACAAATGACAAAAAAAACCTCCTTTCCCAGTTCTGACTTGCATTGGAGACAGGAGTAGAGGAGGAACAGAGGGAGCATTATTCATGCCAAGCAGATTCATTGTGGGGAACGTATTTGATACTAATAAAAACATGAGTACATCCATTAGATTTGCAAGGGAGAGCTTCCCCAGGGCAAACCCTTCCATCTATATATGCCCCAGGATCGACATCTCAGCATTCCTTTCGAGAATCAAGCAACAGGTTTAGTAGGATTTGATTTTTTTGTGCCAGATTCAGCTATACAAACATGCCACCAAGTCATGAAATTTGGCTTTCATGATGTGTTTTTCTGCCTTTATTTCCCCTCATTGTCTGCTATCTGTTTATTTGGAAAATACTATCTCTGCACTGCTCCTATGATTATGTTTTCTTCTTTGTACTTTTGAATTTACGTTAATTAAACCCCCACCCCCTGTAAAACCCATCAACAGATACCACTATTTCATATCTAAACAAGAAGTGGCGGTGGGAGGGGGGCGTAGAGCGCTGTCTGCCTATGGGCTGCAATTCTGCCACTTACTCGGGAGTAACCCTCAGTGACTGACAATAGGACTTACTTCTGAGGAAACTGAACAAACACGCACGGCGCTCTCTACACCAGCTGCCCTTTTCTCTCCCCCCCCCCCTTAATCCCTTATGAGTTGTGACTTTTTTTCGGCGTGGGAAATGCACTCTGGGCGTGTTCAGAGGCACTTTCTCCTGGGGGCTCACATGTCCTACCGGCGAGCAGTCTCAATTAAGCGCAATAAAAGGCACCCCCACGAATGCTGCCGAAGTTCTGCACCCTCCTCCCCACCCCAGCTCCCCTTTCCCCTTCACTGCTGCGCGCACACGCCCCCCCCCCCCCCCGCTTTCAGCTCAGCATCCCTTACCTTCAAAGGTATCCGCACCGCCAGCTAGAAGACCGCTCCGCCCCTGCAGGAGGAGGAACCCACGACCACAGAGTGCGCGGAGCAGAGTGGTCTCAGGAAAATAACTCTTTTGGGAGAAGCAAAGAGGAAAGTCATAATAAAACTGTTAAGTCACGTCCGGTTGCTATTTTAACGGTTCGTGCGACCATGGCTCAGAGACAGAACGAGGGTGCGGGGCGTTCCACAGTATGGCATTTCTGTCCGTGCCCCGCACATGGCGGCCATCCCACGGGGCAGGAAGGAACGCCTGGCTGTAATCCCGCCCCCTATGTAGATCGAGGATTGTAGGGCTCTTTGGAGTTAGTTGGCCGCTCGGCTCAAGGGGCTGCAGTCTCTGCGTATTGGTTTCCGGTTCTTGACAGCAGCTGTTAGGTTCCTCCATGTGCGGGGCAGGAGCTGCGGGACAGGCATAGGGAGTTAGCGTTAAAATGTAAGGATTTGGCGAAGCGGACGTAATCGGAGGCACTTTTTGGTTGTCGTTGCTCCAGTGTTCCCGGGACATTTTTTCGTTTCGTGTTTGCTTCAGTGTTTGCATTCTGTTTTTGCCGAAAAGCAATCCCAGACTGGTTGTCAATAACATAGGCCATAGAAACTCCCTTCAAAACACGACCAAACACTTTGTCACGTAAATGCAAAACTAAACAACACACACAACGTGACAGGCCGTATGTAACTATATAAATTTTTTAAAAATTCTTTTAAAAATACGATTCAACATATCATATCAAAATATGTGGTTCTGTAGACTGACTTATCATACAAACAAAACATATTATAAGAAATTAGAGTCCAGCAGATTGACCAGGAGATACAATCTATTTAGTTCTTACATTAGCAATATCCACTATGTGGAATTCTTATATCAATCTTGTAATGTTCCATGTGAAGATGCTTTTAAGATTTCTGGCGTTCCTTGTATGCAGGTGTAAGACGAAGGACTTAGAACTTTTGTCTGAAACTTGCATACAAAGAACGCCAGAATTCTTAAAAGATGGATATAAGAATTGTATCTCCTGGTCAATGATATTATATGTTGAATCGTATTTTTAAAAGATTTTTTTAAAAAATTATATAGTTACATACAGCTTGTCACATTGTGTGTGTTGCATAGAAACTCCCTGGCAAGAAGTGGAAGCTCCATTTTGTGGTTCATGTCATGTACCGAAATGTCTTGGGCTGGTCCTGGTCATAGGCCACTGCCATCATCAGGCTGCCATTCTCCTGCACAGAGCAGGTCCTCCTCTTCCTCCTCATTGCTGCCTGTTCACTTTCCTCCTCCCAAACATGCAAAATCCTGGGTGAACTGAGCAGGGGTGCAAATGGGACCCTGTGGGAATGGGCAAGGCGGTGGTTACATAGCAGTGGTTACAGCAGCAAAGAGGCTCTGTGAACGACCTCAGCATCTACAGGAGCACTTCCATGTGGGACAATGAGCTGGCAGAAGTTGACCAGTCCTTACAGTAAAACTGGCACTCCATACACTTGTTCTCTGTTCCCCGCCTACTGCTGGTCAGCCGTCCCTGTTCCCCTTCTGCTCAGTGCCACTGTCCTCTGCCTCCTTGTGGGCATCTGTGCCAGTGGCAAAAGGGAGGAGGAAGGGCAGCAGCAACTGCCCCAGGGTGTGTGAAAGGAGGCGGTCGAGTCACTTTTACTTTATCACCTCCTGCCTCTAGGTGAGGTTTGGGCCCAGACCATTGAACAAGCCAGGGGAAGACGCAACAGTGTGATGTAGTGGTTAGAGTGTGGGTCCAGGACATGAGAGGGTTTAAATCCCCTCTGGGCCAAAAAAACTCACAGGGGTAACCTTGGGCCGGGAGCTGCCTCTCAGCCTATGCCTACCTCACAGGGCTGAATGAGGAGAGGATCATGGAGCCACCTTATTTATTTCATTTATTTATTTAGTTTTATTTATACCCCCCTTCCCTGGCCAAGACCAGGCTCAGGGCGGCTAACATCAAGTACAAAAGCAATTAATTAAAATACAAAAAGCCACAGAGTAAAAAATGACTCAGTTGCTCCACTAGGAGGCAGCAACAGCAGTGGCTGCTGGTCCCCTCCACCCCCTTTGCCCATTGCCCACCCTTGGCCGCTGTCCCACCAGCAGGGATGGCAGTTGTGGGGGCAGCAGGGAGGGAGAGTTGCAGGGAGGACTGGCAGCCAACACCTTCCCTCGGGCCTGGGCCATGGGAGGGTTAAGGAGCTTTCCTGCGTTTCAGCAAAACTTGCACAGGTTTGGAGGGGGTGGGGGTGTTCGTAGTTAATCATCCTTTTCATCAACTGATGTTGGTTGAATGGTAGTCTGGTTTTGCTGTAAGAACAGGCTGTAGCCATGGATATGCTATGTGATCTGATGGTGAATTTGGGGTGACCCAATGTAAAAATCCTGAGGATCCATGGGCTTTTACCTCCCCGCTCCCAGGCAGCCTCCTTTATCACTAGCGTCCCTTATCTCCCTCCTGATCCCTTACCGATCAGCTGCTTCCCTCTTGTTTGCCTTAGTGTCTTTTCTTTAGCTGGAGCAGTTTTTTGTTTCTCCTTTTCTTCTAATTTCTCTCCTCATTGCTTTAGTCTTCCTGTCTCCTCTCCTTGCAAGTTCACTGTCTTTACCTCCCCACTCCCAGACAGCCTCCTTTATTGCTAGCCTCCCTTATCTCCCTACAGATTGCTTGCCAATCAGCGGCTTTGTTTCAACACACACTTCCCTCTTTCAAAAAAAAAGCATGATCTGCTTTTTGCCCCTGGGCAATTCAGCTCCAGGGACTATGCATTCACTCCATAAGATGCACAGACATTTCCCCTTACTTTTTAGTGTGTCTTATGGAGCGAAAAATACCATAATTTCATGTTAATAATAATAATAATCTCAGAATAATTGTTACCACTAATATATTCAAACCACTGTAGAATGCAGCAGACAAAACAGGAACAGAACAGTGTTTCCAGGATAAGTCAACTGTTTCAAGGATGATTCTTCATCAGCTGATAATAAAATTGGATACATTACATTCAATTATGAAAACAGAAATAGCAGTGGTTTGAATATATTCTCCCTACGTTGGAGCACCTACCACTACAATATTGCTGGACATTGACTATTGAAAGGCATCCTGCCTTCGCCGCGGTGTTCCCTGACAGCAATTTATTACGCTTACTATTTCTTGTTTATGAACTTTTGTATAACCATGCATATATTATATGTGGATGCTGCAAGGAGGAAAAGGAGGTGAAGAAAGTTGAAGAAAGACAGTGAACGAACAAGAAGGCACAGTGGAGTGTAGGCTAAGCAGGAAAATGGTAGCGTAAAAAGACTGAGTCAGCGTCTTTGTCTTCACCAAAGAAACAGAAATAGGTCACCGGATTTGCAATCAAAGAACTGTCTGAGAAGGTCATTAAGAAAAAACACCGAGTGCGACACTAGGGCAAAAAAAGAGAGAACACAGTGCCACGTACTGGTGGGAAAGAAAATTACAAGAATAATTTTGAATTAGGTTTGAATTAACACTTAAAGTACACCAAGGCTCCAAAACAGTCAAAAATTGTATAGAACAGCAGAGACTGCAGAGATTATATTTTGGCTTTTGTGACTATGGCTTGTGACTTCATTTTTGTGACTTGTTTTTGTGACTGTGTGGAACCCAGTTCAGCTACTGGTTGATTGTGTGACTTCAGAAATGGATAAAAGCCCCCCATCCAAATTGACTATCATCAGTGCACATAAGGGAAAAAAAATGTTAATTTTTTTCATCTAAAATACTGTCTTATTTATTTTATAGTACAGTACATTGATTCAGGGAAGTGGGTGGCACTGTGGGTTAAACCGCAGAGCCTAGGACTTGCCGATCAGAAGGTCGGCGGTTTGAATCCCCGCGACGGGGTGAGCTCTCGTTGCTCGGTCCCTGCTCCTGCCAACCTAGCAGTTTGAAAGCACGTCAAAGTGCAAGTAGATAAATAGGTGGGAAGATAAACGGCATTTCTGTGCGTTGCTCTGGTTCGCCAAAAGTGACTTAGTCATGCTGGCCACATGACCCAGAAGCTGTACGCCGGCTCCCTCGGCCAATAAAGCGAGATGAGCGCCGCAACCCCAGAGTTGGCCACGTTTGGAGCTAATGGTCAGGGGTCCCTTTACAGTACATTGATTATTGCCTTCATTTTATGGATCAATGGTCTTGTTAGACAGTAAAATTCATGTTAAATTGTTGTTTTAGGGGGTGTTTTTCATCGTCTGGAATGGATCAATCCACTTTCCATTACTTTCAATGGGAAAGTCCGCTTCAGGTTAAGAATGCTTCAGGTTAAGAACGGACTTCCGGAACCAATTAAGTACTTAACCTGAGGCACCAGATAAAGCTCCATTAGTAGATATATATTGGTCACAAAACCCAACTCAATTTTTTTTCAGTTTTTCAAAGAACATTAACTGAATTACAGGTTAGACATGGGCTCCGAGAAAAACCAAACGCAGCCTTCCAGCCTGTTGTGGAGAGGAATGGTGGTGCCCAGCACTTCGTCCCACTAAATACGAGCGTTTTTGGGGTTGGTGGACGAAGAGGGGAGGTTGCCAGGACTAGGCACCCCCCTGAGAAAACCCTGCAGAAGAGCAGGGCTTCAAAAGGGTTCAGCAGAATCCGTTCTTTCCTACTGCTGGGACCTGGCTCTCGCAACTGCTTCAGCAGCGAGTGAAGGGGGGCAGTTGAGGGGGATTCAAGGCTCCAACGCGTGCTCACCGACCAAAGTCACTGGTCGCCTCCAGAAGCAACAGATATTCCAAAATAAGGTAATTAAAAAGAAACTTTCTCTGAAGAATTGAAATCAGAACTTAATTGGGCTAAAATTAGAGGAGAAAGAGTGGAGTATTAAACAGGAAGTCATGCTTCCTCTTTTGTGGCCTGGAGCTGCGAGGATCTCTTTGTGAATGAGAGAGATTTTCTTCTTTTTTTTTTGTAGCCTTTGATGAATAATAACAGCTTTAGAGACTGGAGAGCCTTCCCTTCTCAATGGACAGAAATTAACTTATTGGATTGTTAGAACCTTTATTGGATTGAGAGGTGTTGATTGGATCTTATTTAGAGCTGCATATTGGAACTTATTTTGAAGTAATTCAACCTGATAAAATTTTGATGAAATGCTGGATCTTTCAGAACAACTACCAAAGCCTGGCAGGGGTTCTGCTCAGCCGACTGAGGTGGGGAGACCCCTAAGAAGGTAGAGCACCTTGACTGCTGGAGTGGAATAAATTACATCCATTGTGTTTTTGAAAGACCAGGACAAGTACTTCAAAGTTTAAATCTTTAGAAAGTTGACCTACTGTCTGAAAATATGTTAGAGCTACATGGACACTGGTGGACTAACTGGACTTTTTTTGGAGTTATAGACTGTTTCAAGCCTGGATATTTGGAAGTCAATCAAAACCTTAAAAGGATTACAACTGGGAATTATTGGATACTTGGACATTCAGAATATTACAATATTGATTATTAATAAGGTGATAATGAACCAATTCAAAATAGAAAAAGGAACGAGGCAAGGATGTCCGCTATCACCTTTATTATTCATTTTGGTCCTGGAGGTTCTGAATAGAAATATAAGAAAAGATAAACAGATTATGGGAATAAGAGCAGGGAAAAATGAATTTAAGTTGAAAGCATTTGCAGATGACTTGGTAATTACAGTAGAAGAGCCAAAAAATTGTCTCCCTAAAGTCTTAGGAAAAATACAAGAGTTTGGGCGAGTGGCAGGGTTTAAATTAAACAAATAATAATAATAATAATAATAATAATAATTATTATTATTATTATTTATTATTTATACCCCGCCCATCTGGCTGAGTTTCCCCAGCCACTCTGGGCGGCTTCCAATCGAATGTTAAAAACAATACAGCATTAAATATTAAAAACTTCCCTAAACAGGGCTGCCTTCAGATGTCTTTTGAAGAGAAGGTAGTTGCTTATTTCCTTCATATCTGAAGGGAGGACGTTCCACAGGGCGGGCGCCACTACCGAGAAGGCCATCTGTCTGGTTCCCTGTAACCTCACTTCTCGTAATGAGGGAACTGCCAGAAGGCCCACGGTGCTGGATCTCAGTGTCTGGGCTGAACAGTGGGGGTGGAGACGCTCCTTCAGGTATACAGGACCAAGGCCATTTAGGGCTTTAAAGGTCAGCACCAACACTTTGAATTGTGCTCAGAAACGTACTGGGAGCCAATGCAGATCTCTCAGGACCGGTGTTATGTGGTCCCGGCAGCCACTCCCGGTCACCAATCTAGCGGCCGCATTCTGGATTAATTGCAGTTTCCGGGTCGCCTTCAAAGGTAGCCCCACATAGAGCGCATTGCAGTAGTTCAAGCGGGAGATAACTAGAGCATGCACCACTCTGGCAAGACAATCTGCAGGCAGGTAGGGTCTCAGCCTGCATACCAGGTGGAGCTGGTAGACAGGTGCCCTGGACACAGAATTAACCTGTGCCTCCATGGACAGCTGTGAGTCCAAAATGACTCCCAGGCTGCGCACCTTGTCCTTCAGTGGCAATTACCCTATTCAGGACCAGGGAGTCCTCCACACCCGCCCGCTCCCTGTCCCCCAAAGCAGTACTTTTGTCTTGCCAGGATTCAACTTCTATCTGTTAGCCGCCATCCATCCTCCAAACGCCTCCAGCACTCATACAGGACCTTCACCGCCTTCACTGGTTCTGATTTAAAGGAGAGGTAGAGCTGGGTGTTATCTGCATACTGATGAACACCCAGCCCAAACCCTCTGATGATCTCTCCCAGCAGCTTCATATAGATATTAAAAAGCATGGGGGAGAGGACGGAACCCTGAGGCACCCCACAAGTGAGAGCCCAGGGGTCTGAACACTCATCCCCGAACACTACTTTCTGGACACGGCCCAGGAGGAAGGAGCGGAACCACTGTATGACAGTGCCCCCAGCTCCCAGCCCCTCTAGACGGTCCAGAAGGATGTTATGGAAACAAAGGAAAGACAAAAGTATTAACAAAAAATGTGACCAAAATGGGGAAAGAGGAGTTGCAGGAGATCACATAGATAGAAATCCATAAAAAGTTAAATACCTAGGAATCTGGCTTACCAATAAAAACTTGAATTTGTATAAAGACAACTGTGAGAAAGCTCGGAATGAGATCTAGAAAGATTTAGACACTTGGAACAGAATGAACCTTCCCTGATGGGAAGGATAGCAGCAATAAAGATGAATGCACTACCAAAGATGTTTTTTATATATATATTTCATTCAATACCAATAATAAGTAATCTTGTCTGCTTCAGAAACTGGCAAAAAGATATTTCAAAGTTTGTCTGGAACGGGGAAAAGCGTAGAATAAAATATAAAATACTCATAGATACAAAAGACAGAGGAGGCTTTTTCCCGCCCAGACTTTAAACTCTACTATGAAGCAGCATGCATTACGTGGATTCGGGACTGGATTAAATTAAATAAAAATGAAATACTGGACTAGGAAGTAAACGATAATAGATTTGGTTGGCATTCATATTTATGATATGGGAAAGATAAAAAACGCAAAGACTTTCATAACCATATAATAAGAAAAACGCTTATAAGAATCTGGAACAAATATAAATATTTTTTAGAACCCAAAACCCCATGGTGACTTTCACCAGTGGAGGCATTAGTATTAAAACCACTCAACAGGAGAGGCAGCTGGCTGACATATAGAAAATTACTGATGGCGGGGGGAGGGTTGAAACTAAGAGTATGAAGAATTGAAAGTCGTTTTGCAAAGTTGGCTACATCATAGACAGTTGAATGAACAGTTCAAAGAGGATAATAAGAAAGGTTTTAGTTACATAGTTTCAAATTTTCAAAAAGAAATTATCAAGAGTGATACAAAATTACTTTAAAAGATGTACAATCTCCTGCTATATGGGGAAATGTTGGATGAGATGGTAAAGTCAGCACAAATAAAGTAGGCTCAAGATTTAGGTTATAATATACAATTTAAGGATTGGAAAAGCATGTGGAAGGCGCCGCAGGATGCAACCTGAAAGAACGTAACATGAAGCAAAGGTAACATGGTATGACTATCTAAAAAACAAAAAAATGAGGAAGCTATACAAAAAATAAAGGTATTACAAATCCAAATTTCATCAATACTGAGTCATGAAATAGAAATCAATATGGAATGGATGAAGCAAATAACATTTTAATTTTCAAATAAGCCAGGGAAAATGTTAGCATGGCAACTAAAAAAGAAGCAAAAAGAGAGAATGATTGACAAAATAAATGTAAAAGGGAAGGTGTTAGATAAACCGGAAGAAATAAAGGAAAGCTTTGTTAGACACTTTAAAAGTGTCTACAAGGCTGGTAGTGAAACAGAAGAAGAAATAACAAAATATTTACAACAGAAAGACATACATAAGGTATTAACTGACAATATTGAATATCTAAACTCCCCTGTATCCATAATGGAAATACATCAAGAGATAGCAAAGTCTAAAATAGGAAAGTCCCCAGGGGCAGATAGTCTCACTACAATGCATTATAAAAAAAATAGAGGACTCCCTAGTGCTACCCATGAATCTATTGATAAACAAAATTTTGGAGGAAGGGAAAATACCAAAAACATGGCAGCAAGCACATATAGCATTGATACTAAAACAGGGTAGAAATAAAGAACTTATAAACAATTGCAGACCGATCTCCCTACTTAATAATGATTATAAAATATACGCGGACATTTTAGCCACTAGATTAAAAAAAGTATTGGGCATAACATGTTTTTGAGAAACCCACACTGCCTCTTTGTTGTCGTTTAGTCGTGTCCGACTCTTCGTGACCCCATGGACCAGAGCATGCCAGGCACTCCTGTCTACTACTGCCTCCCGCAGTTTGGTCAGACTCATGTTTGTGGCTTCGAGAACACTGTCCAACCATCTCGTCCTCTGTCGTCCCCTTCTCCTTCTGCCCCCCATCTTTCCCAACACTGCCTCTTAGTAATCGCTGAATCTACGCACACAGCCCAATTGTTTAATAATCTGTTTAGGACCTTTTCTGGTATCAATGTCAAGCTCACCAGTCAGCAATTACCTGGGTCTTCCTAGTTCCTTTTGAAGATGGGGACAACATTTGCCTACTTTCAGTCTGAAGGGACCTCCCCTGTTCTCCAATCATTCTCAAGATTATTGGCAGAGGCTCTGAGATTACATCCACAAGCTCCTTTAGTACCCTTGGGTGCAGCTTATTAGACTCTGGAGTTTTGAATTCATTTAAAGTAGCTAGGTGTTCCCTTACCACCTCTTTTCCTATCTTGGGCTGCAGCTCCCTCCTTGCATCATTTATTTTGGTAACCACCAGGTTGGGCACTGCTTTCCTTTAGGGTGAAGATAGTGGCAAAGCAGGTGTTGAGCAGTTCTGCCTTCTTTCTGTCACCCAACAGCATTTCTCCCATCTTCTCCATGCAGAGGACCTACTAGCTTGTTCTTCCTCCTGCTTTGAACATAGCCAAACAACCCTTTTTCTTATTTTTAACTTCGCATGCAAGCCTGAGTTCATTCTGAGCTGTGGCCCGCCTGAATCTTTGTGCTCATGTTGGTGAGCTGGATGGGAGTTGGACCTTCACAATATCTGGAAGGCATCATGCTGTCCACCTACTAGCTGGGAAGGCAGTGGCCAGGTGGTCTGTGTGCCTGCTCAGTCTGCAGTCCAAGTGTCTATTGTCAACAAGCGACATAAAAAACCCATCCCCCATTCTTAGGGTTATGTTTCAACTGCACTTGGAGCAGACAGCCCTTCAAACACAGCAATCCTTCAAAGAAAGTATTGTCTTCCAGCTGTCATTTACATGGAGGACTGTCCTCCTAGCACTGCAGTAAGACACATGGCCACTTATTTCCCTTATTTCCAGTTATGGAAAATAGAATGCATCCATCCAAGTGGCAACCCTGGCTAAGCCTTTGCAAAGGTTCCTATTCCTGCCCACTAGAGGTCCTCCTAAGTCAAAGAATGAGCACAGTTCCAATATTTCCTCCTATTTGCATGGAACTACAGCAAACTGGCAAGTTCTTAAAGAAATGGGAGACCTTATCTGTCTCCTGAGAAATCTCTATGTGGGATAAGAAGCTACAGTTAGAACTGGATATGGAACAACTGATTGATTCAAAATTGGGATAGGAGTATGGCAAGGCTGTATATTGTTTCCCTGCTTATTTAACTTATATGCAGAATTCATCATGCGAAAGGCTGGACAGGAAGAATCCCAAATCGGAATTAAGATTGCCGGAAGAAATCAACAACCTCAGATATACAGATGATACAACTTTGATGGCAGAAAGTGAGGAGGAATTAAAGAACCTCTTAATGAGGGTGAAAGAGGAGAGCACAAAATATGGTCTGAAGCTTTTTTTTTAAAAAAAAATGAAGATCATGGCCACTGGTCCCATCACCTAGAAGGGGAAGAAATGGAGGCAGTGAAATATTTTACTTTCTTGGGCTCCATGATCACTGCAGATGGTGACAGCAGTCACGAAATTAAAAGACACCTGCTTTTTGGGAGAAAAGCGATGACAAACCTAGACAGCATCTTAAAAAGCAGAGACATCACCTTGCCAACAAAGGTTCGTATAGTTCAAGCTACGGTTTTCCCAGTAGTGATGTATGGAAGTGAGAGCTGGACCATCAAGAAGGCCAATCGCCGAAGAATTGATGCTTTTGAATTATGGTGCTGGAGGAGACTCTTGAGAGTCCCATGGACTGCAAGAAGATCAAACCTCTCCATTCTGAAGGAAATCAGCCCTGAGTGCTCACTGGAAGGACAGATCCTGAAGCTGAGGCTCCAATACTTTGGCCACCTCATGAGAAGAGAAGACTCCCTGGAAACGACCCTGATGCTGGGAAAGATTGAGGGCACAAGGATCTGTGCGGAAGGCACATTCGCAACCCGCAGTGTTCCAACCCGCAGAGCGGCATCTGCACACCCGCGGGTTGCGATTCGGCACTTCTGCGCATGCACAAAGCATGATTTAGCACTTCTGCGCATGCGGAAGTACCAAAACCCGGAAGTAAGCCGTTCCAGTACTTCTGGGTTCGGCACAGTACGCAACCCGAAAACACGCAACCTGAAGCGTCTGTAACCCGAAGTATGACTGTACTTGCTTCTCTCCCTCTCTCTCTCTCTCTCTCTCTCTCTCTCTCTCTCTCTCTCCATAATCCGCACACGTTGTAGATCTATTGCATATTTCCCTGCTACTCACAAAAGTCCTCCTTGAAAATGAAAACTCATTGCAGATTGATTCAGTGTTACCCCACAGTGTGTCTATTTGAAAAGAGACCTACATAGTCCCAGCAATGGGGTGTGTGAATGTATTCACACCTGCTTAAGATTGCAATCAACACTTCCTTCTCCGTTCACTTGGGGCATGTGCAGGGAGGAAAAGGCATGGATATCCTAAACAAGGGGTAGGTTTTTCAAATGCGTATCAAGTAACTACACTCACCTTTCTGGGCGGTAAGGACCATGGCCATAGCCAGGATTTTTGTTTGGGGGGGGGCAGGCCTTTAGTTGTGAGGGGCATGCCTTTTGTTCAGGGGCGGGGTGGCAGAACCTTAGTTAGTTATGTGTTTTTGTTTATTTTTATTGATGGGGAGGCAGCTGCGCCCCTGCCCCCCCTGTACACTCCCATGGCAACAGCCCAAATCAATCTTGATTGAAAGCATCATGACTGGGTCACACATGAATGATACCTGTTCGAGAGAGAAAACAACTACATTTTTAAGGCTACAAATGTGTTAGCATGTATTAGGCCATAGCTAAGCATCAAACAGTGACATTTGAGACATTGCCTAAATTACGGGGGGTTCAGATCATCCTGTTTTGCTGCACCACCCACAAAGCGGCAACCACAGTGGCTGTTTCCAGTGAGATCTCACATGCTGTGTGAGATTCCAGCAAGATATATCTGGGAACCAGCATCACTGCCAGTGCCGTCAGTGCCGTCTTTTGCTGGTGACAAGGAGGGTAGGGTACCTGGAGGGGATGCTCCCTCTCAAAATTCTGCCACCTGAGGCGGCTACTTCACCCCACCTCATGGGCAGCCTGGCCCTGGTTCCATTAGAGCCTTGTTCTCTTAGCTACTGTTTTTAGAAGGCTTCATGAGTGTGGTTAAAAATAGGGAAAATCAGAGGTGGGGCACATGGATTTCATCCCTGCCACTGCTTCTCCCACTCTCATAATTTGCACACTGATTTCATGCATGTATAAGTGATTATTCCAGAAAACGGTTCAGTTTGATTCATTTCCAATGCCTGCCTTGGTAGACGGCACCCAACCATAACATGTGGGGTGAGAGAAAGAGCGATGACTTGCAAACAGCTGTAAAGACCTGGTCAGACATGTTTTTTAATCATTATATATTTGGAGTGTGTTGTTTGGGGCAGAAGGGCTAGAGAAAAGTTCATGGGCTCTCATGCCGAGTGGCTCCCAGAGGAACCAAAACGAGTGAGTCACTCAATGACTTCAGAACTGAGGCATTTTGGCATCCATGAGAATTTATCTCTGGCCCTTCCTGGGATTCCTGAAGGCCGCTCGCTCTTCTCCGTGGGGGTCACAGAGGAGACCCTTTTCAGCCAATGGCAGATGGCAGCAGTCTTGGCATTGCTGGGAATGACTCCATGCCCCTTGATGTAATCCTTCCTCCCTGGTCTTCACTTTTCTTCAGGGATAATTTGAGAGCAAACCTCCCAGGCATTTCTCTCCCCCTGCCCCCAATTTCCCTTTTAAAGGGGTGGGGGAGGAAAGGAAGCAGGAGGGAAGCCGAAAGGAAGAGACAGTGGTACCTCGGGTTACATACGCTTCAGGTTACATACGCTTCAGGTTACAGACTCCGCTAACCCAGCGCTGTGCGGCAGCAACAGGAGGCCCCATTAGCTAAAGTGGTGCTTCAGGTTAAGAACAGTTTCAGGTTAAGAACGGACTTCTAGAACGAATAAAGTACTTAACCCGAGGTACCACTGTAGAAAAAAGCCCTCTGTATGCTAAGGTAGGAGCAAGGAACCTTTTTCATTCAGAGGGCCACATTATCTTGTGACCACCTTCCTGGACAGGAATTGCATACAAATGGTGGGCATGGCAAAATTGGGTGCGGCCAGACACACACTGCTCTTCATCTTCCATCCAGGCAAACCAGAGGCATCACAGTCCTAGAATATTGTTTCATGCCACCCCAATCACAGACTGAGATTCCAGGGGTTCCAGGCGCTTACCCAGGGTTCATGTTTCCTCTGGAATGAGGCACAACAGAGACTGTGGTGTCTTTAGCATATAGGGTTATTTACAGATATATGCAACCTGAGTCTATGGTGGAGGGGTTCGCAGAATTAGCACCCTAAGAAGGACTTGCTTCTTCCATAGCTGCGGCCTTGGATTCACCCACCACCATTGCAATTTCTGCTACTGCATTTAAGTCAATGTACAATTTAAAAATAAGTCAGGTTGTTTAGGTGGCCTGAGGCAGGAAATCTCACAAGCTCCTCTCCTTGAGAGTAAAAACAAAGTCAGACTAAATTAAATAAGCAACTATTTGCCTGAAACTGTATTGTGGACAATCCATAAAAGGGGCAAGGGGAGGGGAAGGGGAGAAGGGGCAAACTCTTACATAGGACTCAGCTACATTAGTAAAGAAACAGCAATTTGAATGTACTAAAATATGCAACACCAGATGGTGCCAAAGAGCAGGAAATTTTAAAGCATGATTTTCCACAGAGATTTCTTT